GACCTTGCAGCTTTTCTCAGCCAGGGTCCAGGAGGGAATGAAGCCCTATTGTATGTGATGAATTAACTTTTCTCCTGTGCCTTTAGGATTGTCCTAGGAGAAGTGAGAAAACAGACATGTACAATTTTCTGTGTTCTGTGGTTCTATGAGGAACCTAGTTGAGGAAGACTGGAGACCCAGAAGGCCCCCACCTCAATCCCCACCACAGGTTTGGTCACACAGGGAACTAGAGGCCCAGAGAGATGGGACTGGGTCAAGGTCACACAAAGTCGGTGCAAAGCCAGCCCTCAAAACCAGGTCCCCAAATGCCAGACCAGGACTGCGTGATGGGTGACACGACCATTCCCATTCCTTCTACATGTTGAAAACAGAGCAGTTCCAGGGTGCTGGGTTTTACATTCTGGTTGTGAGACTGCATTTGTTGAGCTGTCTCTGCAGTCTTGTCTGCAAGAGTGGGGGGCTTGGGAGGCCTGAGCAGCACCCCCCTTCCTTGAGAGCTGAGGTCACAGCTCTGGCTGGTTCCAGGCCGTGTGTGGCTAAGTGCACTGCAGCCCTGCCATGGTTGGAGGAGGGGTAGCTGCTAAGTGGTTTCTAAAAAAGAGCAAAAATGATGGGAAAGGCTTTGGGATCCCCTGGGAATTGGAGCCGCAGCAACGGCAGCTGCTGCCATTGCTGGAAACGTTTTCCTTGAGTGCCAGAGCGCTCAAAGCCCATTCCTGCCAGTGGAGCAGCCGTGGCCGGGGAGGGGCCAAGGACCCTCACGGAGACGGGGAGGCAACTCTTCTCTCCACATCAGCCCAACTCTCCCTTCAAGTAGCAACGGCCTTGGAGCTCACAGGCACCTGCTGGGTCTGGGGTGTGCCTGCGTCTAGCTGGTGAGTCCCTTTTGTTGTTCCATGGCCAACGCAGGTGTTGGCTTCTAGAATGGTGTAGTGAGCCGTCAAAAGCTGGGCCCTGCCTCTTCTCAGCTATGTGACTATGGGCAGTTCCACTAGCCTCTCAGCACCTCAGTTATTTTGTCTGAGAACTGGGGATGATAACGGTGGCTGCCTGGAAGCTTGTGGTGAGGCATCAGTGGAGCTGTAGCTGTGGTGCACTTAGCTGGCTCATTGCGAGACTTGGTAAGTGATAGTGGAGGTTGCTGTCATCAATGTGTGTTACTTGCACCAGAGTCATCCTGGGACGAGGAGGCTGTGGCTGCTGCTGAGGCCGGTGGTTTGTGGCTGGAGGTTTCAGTGCGTTGTCCTCTCTGGAGTGAAGGAGTGCTGGGCTGGAGGCAGAAGCCCTGGGTTCTTGTCCAGGCTCCACTCTCTCTGTTTTTGGCAGTGTTCCTCTGGCTTTTCATCCACAGGTTGGGAAGCCCCCAGCTCTCGGTCCCTCTTTAGGAGATGCTCAGGGTCTGAGGGGACGAGGATGATCAGGGCTGGGTCCTGGACCAGCTCCCAAGAGCCTGCAGGGAGTCTGGAGGCAGACGGATGCTTTGGGCAGAGAGGGGAGCGGGAGAGCTATGCCCTAGGATGTCTCACCTGGATTGGGGAGAGAAGAAGGGAGGCTTCTCCCAGGTGGTGGGCAGTGTCCTTCCTGGCTCTGGGGTTGAGAAAGACCCAGGGGCCAAACCAGGTCTTTGCTGGGCAGGGTCGTTTTTCCAGGACCATCCTTTAGTCCAGATTTGTGAATCTCGTGTAACCAGGACCACCATCTCCATCAGATACCCCAAATCACGATTGGAAATTCCCCTGTCACTGTAGAATGTTCAGCTATGACAGGTGGGTTGCCATGGGGCTCACATGCTGGACACACCCCAGGCCTGGCAGTGACAGGGACTATCTTGTCCCTGTCTGCCCTCCCAGCCCAGAGCAAGTGGCCTCTCAGTCCCTGTCCCACACCCTGCTCTGGGAGAAGCTTGGTTTCCAGTAGGCAATCAGGTGCAGGGTGTGCAGTGCAGATTCAGGGTTTGTTGACTGATTGACTGATGGTACTGTGTGGGCGGCCTCATGTTTATTGGGTTTGGTTGGATTTGGACTGCTCAGAGAAAGAGGCAAAGCTGCTGAAGAAGAACATTGCGAAAGGTTTGCAAAAAGAGGCGCCCGCTGATAGGTGCCCTCTTGTTGGGCTGTAAGACCCGCTAGTCAGGCATCAGGTTTACTCTTGGTTTTGCAGCCAGCCTTAGCGAAGGGGGGACAGTCCTGGGAGAGCCAGGCCTGCATATGGCCTGGGTCTTATTCCTACTTCATTTAGGGTTTTGAGCTTCCCGGGATGCTTGTTTGAGCAGGAGGTTTGGGGCTTCTGATTGGAAGGGCATTGTCACCACCTGCCTGGCCCCAGGGCTGGGAAGGCCTGATGTGTTTGGCCCCCAGCCCCTTGTGTGAGGTCTGGGGCTGAGCTGAGTGGCTAAGGAAGAGCTCTGAGCCTTCCAGAGAGGTGGTGGAGCGCTGGAGAGGCTCTGGACCTAGGCTGCCTGTGATCAAATCCAGGCTCCACCTCTTACTAACTGTGTGACCTCAGGCAAGTAATGTAACTACTCTGTGCTCCAGTTTCCTCGTCTGTAAAATATTTACCTCTTAGAGACATGAGAATGAAGCGAGTGAATGCATGTAAAGCATTAGAATAGTGTTTGCCTATGCTCACACATGTCAATTATTTTCATTCTCGCTAGGCTTCTGTGCCTTTTAAATGGCGACAGGCTCCCCATAGTATGAACAGTCCTTGACAGGAAGTTATCTTCTGAAAGTACAGACTAGCCCCCGGTGTCCACCCTTTTGAAGCTCCTCATGGCTTCCGACCATCCAAGCAGTAATGTCCACCTCCTGTTCCTTGGCATTCAAGGCCGGCAGCCGTCTGGTTCTGACCCTGCCACCTGTCCTCCAATCTTACTGGCTTCCTCTTCATCAGCAACTCCAGGGATCCCCCCAACCCCAGCCCAACCCTGCTCCCCTTCTAGGCCCAGCTCATTTTGTCACCTCCTCCACAAAGCCTTCTTCAGCACCCTGGCCCCTCCTGTGGTCCCCCTGCTCCAGATGGAGTCTGAGTCCTCTCTGTGCCCCCAGCACAGGGCCGGACACCCAGCAGGACTCAATGATGGGTGTTGAGTGACGGGATGAAGGAATGGGTGAGTGGTTGGAAGTGGGGCTCTCTGTGGCCGGGAACATTCCCTGCTGCAGGGTTTCCACCTAATGGATGGATCAGAGAAAGACTCAGGCCCTCCTGAGAGCAGAACAACAGGCAGAATGGGAAGTGGACCGGCTGTCAGCTGTCTGTCTTGTTCAGAGGATGCAGAGTGGTGAGGCTGCCTCATTTTTTCCCCACGGATCTGGGCATCAGATCACAGCTGATTTACTGCCATGGCCCAGCCATGTGCTCTGAATTTTCACTGCCTGAACCTTTGCTTGAAAATGCAGGCCTCGGGCTGGCCCCGTGGCTTAGTGGTTAAGTGCGCGCTCCGCTACTGGCAGCCCGGGTTTGGATCCTGGGCTCGCACCGACGCACCGCTGCTCCGGCCATGCTGAGGCCACGTCCCACATACAGCAACTAGAAGGATGTGCAACTATGACATACAACTATCTACTGGGGCTTTGGGGAAAAAAAGGAGGAGGATTGGCAATAGATGTTAGCTCAGAACTGGTCTTCCTCATCAAAAAGAGGAGGAATGGCATGGATGTTAGCTCAGAGCCACTCTTCCTCAGCAAAAGGAGGAGGATTAGCATGGATGTTAGCTCAGGGCTGATCTTCCTCACAAAATAAATAAATAAATAAATGAATAAAAAAAAAAAAAAAAAAGAAAATGCAGGCCTTGGGAAGCCTCCCGTTCCTTCAGTGGCTGTTTTCTGGAGTCCAGCCACTGTTGGAACATGAATCTCCCTGAATCCGTGTGGAAATGGGAACTAGAAGGATCTGTGTCTGATCTCTCTTATTTCCCCCACGGTAACCAGCACAGCTTTTTTTCATTAAGACATGGGTCAGGCAAGCTTCCTGCCCAGGAGGAGGTCACAGGGCAGGGGGGAGATAAAGCAGTGCTAGAAATTGCTAGACCGCATTGTGGACTGTGCTAAGAGGGCCGTGAGGGGTGGATGGACAATGAGCTGCGCCACTCTGGAGGGAGAGGAGGCACGACCAGTGCAGGGATCAGGGGGCTTTGTGGAGGAGGTGGCGTCAGTGCTGGATGCTGAGGGAAGATGGCATCTGAGTTGTGGTAGGATGTGAGAAGAGGAGAAGGAGGAACAAGCACCCAAGTGGAGGCACTGCCGGAACAAAGGCCACCGAGATGTGGGACAGCCCTGGGTACCAGCACACGGATGCCCAGCTGTGTGGAGGGAAGAGTAGGAGGTGAGGTGAGGAAGGGAGTGGAAAACAGTATCAACACAAGTTTACATGTGCGGGCACTGGCTGCCAGCTTAATTCCAGGTGTTTCAGGCCTGGATGGCCCACCAGCCCCAAATCACTTAAATTCTAAACGTTCAGGGCCAGGATGCTTGAAATACACTGATTTTACGAAAATGACACAAAGTGCAAAAATCCCCCACAAACTCAATAGTTGCAATAGCTGTGACGGGCACACATGGCACGGGAGGGCCCTTGTAGTGTGGAGTGTGAGTTTCACAGTCCCTGCTGGCCAACCTGTTCCTGGGACACAGATGCCCAGTTCCTTGGGGCTGAGCCATCCTCCTCATGAGTTCCTCCCTGAAGGCACAGCCAGTGACAGCCACTCCCACTGCTTCCTTACTTGGCTCTTGGAGGGAGGCAGAGCAGAGGTTATTGCCCCCACTCTGCAGATGAGGCAACCGAGGCCCAGAGAAGAGGAACAACCCAACCAAGTCCCTCAGACCCTGAAGGCTCCGTGCTGGGGGGCCTGTTCATCCCTGGAGGCTGAGGCCCAGGTGGCTGCTAGGCCTGGGGCTTCTGGGGTGGGAGGTATAGCATCCCTGAAAGCTTCTGTTCTGGGGGGCTGAGGGCAGCAGCTGTTGGGCCTTTCGGGTGTCCTCCTTCACAGGAGCCTTTGCAAGGAGGGCGGTGGGGCCGGAGTCGTGTAGTTTTCGAGCCAGGAACAAACCTGATCTCTATGGCTGCCCACAGGCTGCCTCTTGGGCCACAGAGGATCTGGTGAGGATGAAGAAATGGGGGAGCTCAGACTCAGGGGATTCTGAGGACCTGCCCCAAGAGGACTCCTGCCCAGACCCCCCAGATGGAGACCCTGACTCCAGGCCACCTCCAGCCACGCTCCACATCTTCCCCATGAGCAAGAGCCGCAGCCAGCTCTTTGGGAAGTGTGATTCAGAGGAAGCATCCTCCATGGACTACTCTTACGAGGAAGGCCAGCTGGCCTCTTGCCCAGCCATCACTGTCAGCCCTGTTGTCATCATCCAGAGACCTGGGGATGGCCCCACTTGTGCCAGGTAAGCTGCACCGGTAGCCCGGCCCCCCTCTCCACCGGGAGCCCAAGTGGCTCAGTTGGCTGAGGCCCCAGCCATAGAGAAACCACGTTGTGCTCTGGCTTATGGGCTGTAGACCCAGGGATCTAGGGATCCTTCAGAGGTTGTCTAGTCCAGCCTCTGCACTCATAGGACTTTTGGGACATGTCACACATGGATGCTGGCATTTTTGCTGACCTTAGCTGCCAGCTGATCTCTAGGTGCCTGGCCTGGAATCCTCACCAGCTCCAAACACTTAGACTTCAAGTCAAAAAGATCAAGTCCAGGATGCTTTTAGACAGAACAGGAAACAGCTCCAATGAGGAGCCCACCAGCCTTCTCGCCTCCTCCAAGGCAGGACAGGGGTGGCACACAGACTGGCTGACTTCTGGGGCTGTGTGAGGACACTTTTTCACTTAGCAGGAGCCAGCCAAGCCCCTCCAACCCCTTCCTCCAGCTCCTCCAGGCTACTTCCCCCGGAGCTGCAGCTCCCAAGCAGGCAGAGAGGTGGATGGCCTGGGTGTTGGAAGAAGTGGTGGTGGCAAAGACTTTCTAGATGATCCCAGGCAGGGTGGGGACAGCATGGGGGCACATGTGCCCGTCTGTTCCCTGTGACATCAGTTTCCTGGACTGAAGGGTGGCTTTTTATCATGTTTTCCCCGTTTTGGTTTGCCTTGGGGTTTGGTGGTGCTCCCTAATGAGCTCCGAGGGCCTCAGGGCTGAGGGGAGACCAGAGTATGAGACCAGGGGGTTTTCTGGCCCACAGGCAGCTGTCCCAGGACTCTGTCACTGGCGGCATCCAGAAGAACCTCAAGCTCTATGATCGCAGGAAGATCTTCGACGCTGTCGCTCAGAATAACTGCGAGGAGCTGGAGAGCCTGCTGCTCTTCCTGCAGAAGAGCAAGAAGCGCCTCATGGACAGCGAGTTCAAAGGTGGCCCCCGAGAGGGCGGGCTCCTGGGAGGGGCCCGGCCGCCACGCCCTTCTCTGACCCTCACTTTGTCTTGCAGACCCAGAGACAGGGAAGACCTGTCTGCTGAAAGCCATGCTCAACCTGCATGACGGGCAGAATGACACCATCCCCCTGCTCCTGGAGATTGCCCGGCAGACGGACAGCCTGAAGGAGTTAGTCAATGCCAGCTACACGGACAGCTACTACAAGGGTGAGGAGGGGGCGGGGGCGGGCGTGGCTCTGCCCACAAGCACACCTGGGGCCAGGGGGGCAAGCCTAGGCCAGCCTCTGAGCTCCTGACTCCCTGTCCCAGCCACTGAGTCAGCATCTCCTGGCCCTGGGGGTCCCTGCTTCACCCGCCTGCTGGCTTGGTTTCTCCTGGCACTGAGGGCCCCTTCCTCCCCTCTGCAGGCTTCGTGTTCCTTGCCCCTGGAAGTCATGGCCTCCCTCTCTGCTACTGTTCCTTGCCCTTGGACAATTTTGACTCCTCCAGCTCCCAGTCTGGTGTCCCCTGTTCCTGGGGGTCTCTACTCCTGCCTCAGGGACTCCTTGGGCCCCCTTTGGGGATCCTGGCCTAGCCTCCTCTGGTGGGTGCATCATCCAGCACTTTCTGCCCAGGCCTTCCCCCAGCACCTGCGCGGGCACCCCCTCAGGACTATGAGCATAAAGCCAAAAGCGTACATCCTCCACAGGCCAGACGGCACTGCACATTGCCATCGAGAGGCGGAACATGGCACTGGTAACCCTCCTGGTGGAGAATGGGGCAGATGTCCAGGCTGCAGCCAATGGGGACTTCTTTAAGAAAACCAAAGGGCGGCCTGGCTTCTACTTTGGTAAGGAGACCATGTGGTAGACACTTGGCTTTTTGACAATTGCTAAGGGGAGGTGTAGGGTGGGGACAGAGGGAGTTGGAGGCTGAGTGACCCAGGGACCAAGTCAGTCTATTCCCGAGGCCCACCGAATGCCTGTGTTTGCTGCAGGTGAACTGCCCCTCTCCCTCGCTGCGTGCACCAACCAGCTGGGCATTGTGAAGTTCCTGCTGCAGAACTCCTGGCAGCCGGCAGACATCAGCGCCAGGGACTCTGTGGGCAACTCGGTGCTGCATGCGCTGGTGGAGGTGGCCGACAACACGATTGACAACACCAAGTTTGTGACGAGCATGTACAACGAGATTCTGATCCTGGGGGCTAAGCTCCATCCTACGCTGAAGCTGGAGGAGCTCACCAACAAGAAGGGGCTGACGCCGCTGGCTCTGGCCGCCGGGAGCGGGAAGATCGGGGTAGGGAGAGGGCGTCGGTCGCACCTGAGCTGGGGGTGTGACTCTCGAGGGTGCTGTGGGAGGGGACTGCCTGCCTCACTGTGTGCGCCTGGCATCGCCACTTGTGGAGCCCTGATGCTGTCACACCAGCTGGTGGGGTCGGGCAGGGAGCTGTTAGAGTAAGCCAGAGGGGTAGTGAGACGCTGAGCAGAACCCAGCCCTGCTCACGTGGCCATCACTGATTTCCAACTCTGGGCATCACCAACAAGGTGGGTTGGGGGCTGGGTGCTGGGGCCTGGGGATAGGGGTGGGTGGAGCCGAGAGTGAAATGGAACCAGGAGCTGTTGGTGTTTTTCCATGGCAGGCAGGATTTCAGGGTGATAGGGAGCGTCCTGAGGGGAGGGTTTGGGGTAGGGCAGGCCCAAGCCAAAACAGGGCCCTGTGGATGATATCAGGCCGTGGAAGGCTGATGCTGGGGCTGGGCAGTCAGGAATTGGAGGGGAGGGGGCTTCTCAGCACCAGGACATTCTTGGAGCTTGTCCCTGCTCATACCTAGCCTCTTAGGATGAGAAACCTGGCTTTATAACTTTGGTTTTATTTCTTAGATTTTCTTTATTTCCTTCTGGCTTGACATTTTCTAGAATGGCCCACTGCAGTCTCTCACTGTGACACAGGAGAGCTAGGGGGCCAGGTGTGATCAGGTGACGGGTCTGATGTGGTTGCAGTTGGGGTCTGAGGCAGTGGGCAGGTGGATCTTGATGGCGGTCAGGAGGCTGCTGGATGGGGGTGAGGGCTCTCCTGGGGCTTGGGTGGGGTCTCCAACTGGGCTGGGAAGCATAAGTATTCTTGGAGTAGAGCTGGTGGCTCGGTGGGGATGTAACCAGTGGCAGGGCCCCAGGCTGGCCTCTAACAGGCTCTTGTGCCCCCGTGGCAGGTCTTGGCCTATATTCTCCAGAGGGAGATCCAGGAGCCAGAGTGCAGGCACCTGTCCAGAAAGTTCACCGAGTGGGCCTACGGGCCCGTGCACTCCTCGCTTTACGACCTGTCCTGCATTGACACTTGGGAGAAGAACTCGGTGCTGGAGGTGATTGCCTACAGCAGCAGCGAGACCCCTGTGAGTGGGCCCAGTCTCACTGCACCCACCCCCACCCCCACCCCCGGCCCTGATCTGGCTCTGCCTGTCCTCCCGTCAATGAGAGCCTGTTGCTCAGAGCCTAGGCCCTGCAGCCTCATCTCCCCATGTGTTCCGACAAATGTTTTCCTTCTTCATACAATCAATGTATGATGATATTCCCATAGAAACTTAAGTATTTCAGAGGTGCACAGACAAAAAAGAATCCTCCTTTTATACCATATAAAACTATGTAGCTTCATTATGTTTACATAAATGGGATCAGACTGTACATAATGTAGAACAACCAGCTTTTTCACTTAGCATGTCTGGTAGACAGTTTTTTATCAGTACATGTGGGTCTGCTTCATTAAAAGGACTGCTGCATAGGATTCCAAGGTAGGGATGGGGGTCAATGTCCCTAGAAGGACATTCCAGTTACTCCCAGTTTTTTGCTACTATAGTGCTGCAGGCCACTTGGCAGGGGTTTGAGAATTTTTCTTTGAAAGATACCTGGAGTTGAAATTGCTAAGTCAAAATGTGTGTACATTTTAATATTTTAATAGCTCCTGCCAAATTGTCCTCCCAAAAGATTGCATAAATGCACTCACCTACCACCAGTGGGGACACATCTACCCATGTCCTTGCCAACCTGGGTATCATCAATCTTTTTTTTTTTTTTTTAAACTAGCTTAAGTCCATGGAGGCAAAAATACTATCTTATTGATGTCTTTTTTTTTTTTAAAGATTTTATTTATTTATTTTTCCCCCAAAGCCCCAGTACATAGTTGTCTGTCATAGCTGCACATCCTTCTAGTTGCTGTATGTGGGACGCGGCCCCAGCATGGCTGGAGGAGTGGTGCCTCGGTGCGCACCCGGGATCCGAACCCGGGCCGCCGGCAGCGGAGCGCACGCACTTAACCGCTAAGCCACGGGGCCGGCCCTTATTGATGTCTTAATTCTCGTTTTCTTGATTACCGTGAGGTCGGGCATTTTTTCGCATGTTTACCGACCATTCCTATTTCTTCGGTAGGTTTCCTGTTCATTGTCCTTTGCCATCTCTCCTACTGGACTGTTCGTCTCATCCCTTTTGGTTTGTAGACGCACTCGTTGTAGACTGAACTGATCCTTTCTTTATTGCCTATGTTGCAAATATTTTATTTTCTCCCAGTCTGTCTCTTGTCTTTTAACTTCATTTATGGCATCATTTGCTTATAAAGAGTTTTCATTTGACAGAGTCGAGTTGATGAGCCTTTTTCTTTTCTAGCTTCTATGACGTGTGTCTTGCCTTGGAGGGCCTTTTCCACTTCAAGATTACACGCATAGCCTGCAATATTTTCCTTTAGCTCCTCTGTAGGTATTTCATGTTTGGCTCCCTAATTTATGTAGAATTAATTTTTGTGTAGATGTAAGGTAGGCGTCTTACATAGTTATTTGGTTTCCAAGTGAGGGTCCCAAAGCCACTTGATGAAAAGTCCGTCCTACCACCACTGCCTTGAAGGTTGCCTTCCCTGTCTGCTCTTTCTAAGGTGATGCTCCGAGCCCCTAAGGAGACCAGGGGGCTTGAGTCTGTGCTTTCGGTGATGAGGGGCTGCCGTGATGTCTCACAGGGAGAGGCTTGGTCACAGGGGCAGAGTCCAGGGGAGGGAGAGGCCTGGCCTGCTTTGCTCTGCCCTGTCAGCCCCCAGCTGGGCTGTCATGCTGAATCCGGGCCTCTGACTCAGAATCCCGGATGCAAGTGTTTCCAGCGAGCTGGCCTGGGTAAGAATGGCCTCAAAAAGGACCGCAGTGTTTGACATAGAGAAGAGAGGGCTCGGGGGCCATGGCTGCCGTCTTCATGTCTCTGAAGGCTCTCAGGGGCCAGGAGTGCAGTACTGGGGCCCCTGAGTGCAGAGCCGGGACCCCTGGTGGAGGGCAGAGAAGACTAAATTTACTCTAGAGAATAGGTCTTCCCGAGAGTCAGTGTTTCTCCACAGGCTTCTTGAGGCAGCAGGGAGCTTCCCATCCCCGAGGTATTCAGGAAGACACTGAACAGGGACGTTGTTGTGGGAACTCAAGCTTGGGCTGGAGGGTGGGCTCATCCACCCTAGGGATACTGGAATTTTAACAGAGATCTCTTGGATATGAGATTTTTGCCCCAAAGCATATTTCTGACGACAGCATCCCAGGCACTGGGCACACTCGCTGCAGGAAAGGCTTACTAGTTCCCTTCCATCTCATGCATAGATAATGACCACTCCTGCCTGGATAGCCTGCCTGACCCAGGACTGGAAATGTGAGAATTAGGGAATTCAGAGGCCCCTTCCCACCTGCCCTCAGCCCCTCCCTGAGCGGCCTCATGCCAGGCTCTGCCTGCGCTAGCCTCTTCCCGTTATTGTGGGAACAATAAGCATGTGGGCTCCCGGGAGTTATTAGAGATAATGGCAGAGAATGTTGGCAACACCGTGAGCCCTTAAGTGTCAGGGGCACTTAGGGTCGCTTGTGCAATTTCACCCCGCGTTCGCTGTGCACACAAGGGCACTGAGGGCCGGAGGGTGGGCCACACAGCGAGCTCCTGGTTCAGATCTGTGACCCTCAGCTGCTCCTCGGCCGCAGGGGTGGTCCCGCCTGGTGCTGTTCAGAGATGCAGGTGTGAGCAGCACCTCTGCCAGGCAGTTCCTGGTGGGGGTGGGCCTCACCTCTCTTTGCTCCCCTTAGAATCGCCAGGACATGCTCTTGGTGGAGCCGCTGAACCGACTCCTGCAGGACAAGTGGGACAGATTCGTCAAGCGCATCTTCTACTTCAACTTCTTCGTCTACAGCTTGTATATGATCATCTTCACCACGGTCGCCTACTACAGGCCTGTGGACGGCTTGGTGCGGCCTGGGGCTTGGGGCTTGGGGTGGGGCTCAGGGGAGAAGGGGTGGGCATTCCTATAAGACCCCCAAGACCCCAGGCCCAGGCCAGGCCCTGGACTCCTCCCGGGCTCGCTAGAGAGATGGAAGGATCACTGGAGATCTTATATTCCTGTGCGCCCCACCTCCGCCCTATTCTCAGCCCCTCCTTTAGCCTCCTGGTCTGTGAGGCTGAGTGTGTAGTCGCTGAGGTCCCTGATTGCAGAGAGGGAGTAGGTTAGAAAGAGTACAGGAATTAGCGCTCTGGAAGCGTCCCTCCCCCGGGCTGGGTGTCCACAGGGTCAGGGTCTGGGAGAAGCCCTGAGCCCCTTGCCACCTGCTTGTCTGCCTACTTCTGGTCCCTCAATTGCTCATTATTTGTTCCCTGGACACACACTTTTGAGTGCTTCTTCTGTGTCAGGCCCTGCGCCATGTACCAAATCAGCTTGAGGCCAGGATTTCTTCTCTACCAGGAGCCAGGGACTCCCTTGAGTATCTTTGTTTGTTTGTTTGTTTGTTTTTTTTGTGAGGAAGATTAGCCCTGAGCTAACATTAGCCGCCAATCCTCCTCTTTTTGCTGAGGAAGACTGGCCCTGAGCGAACATACGTAGCCATCTTCCTCTACTTTATATGGGGCACCACCACAGCATGGCTTGACAAGCGCTGTGTCGGTGCGCTCCCGGGATCTGAACCAGCGAACCCCGGGCCGCTGAAGCAGAGCAGGCGCACTTAACCTCTATACCACCAGGCCAGCCCCTCCCTCAAGTCTCTGAATTGAGTCCTTTTCATTCAATACCCAAACGCTTAATTTTCTGCCTTTATTTCCAGGGTCCCTTGCTTGTAAATTTGATTTAAAAACTCAACTTTCTGGTTAGGTGAAACCTGATTTCTATCTACCTATTAAGGCCATTTAATGACTTCGTTTTAAAATAAAAGAGAAACGTGCTAATAAGACAAGCTGGTGAACTAGTGCTTACGAAGCACCGATGGTAGGCTGAAAGGAAGCGCACTCCAGGAAATGGTTGCTGAAACACAAGGACGACACACACACGTGTGTGTGGGATGTCTCTCCCTCCACCGTGCGTGGGAAACCTTGACAGTCCTGGGTGACCAGGCGCTCACCAGGGGCTGTGGGGGCGGCAGGAGGCATATGGCATTGGGTCTGTAAGAGCGTGTCCACATAAGCCCCCCCCGCCCCCCCCAGCGGAGCTCCAGGCTGGGACACTGTCCGGGAGACAGCACAGCACTGTATGGATGCTCCACTTGGCACCTGGAAGTGCCACTTGGGAATCATGTCCCACAGAGGGGCCTCCTTGCAGGTGTCCCTATAATAATGTATAATCTTTATTTGTGTCTCTCTCTCCTGATGGAGGCTGAGCCTCTTGAGCAGGGGCTAGGCCTTAATCACAGGGTTTGGTACCTGGTAAATATTTGTTGAATGAATGAATGAGTGAACGGAGTCACTAACTTCTCTGCACCTTGCAGCCTCCCTTTAAGCTGAAAAACACCGTTGGGGACTATTTCCGAGTTACTGGAGAGATTCTTTCTGTATCAGGGGGAGTCTACTTTTTTTTCCGAGGGGTAAGCATTCCTTCCCACGCTGTGAGTTTCCATTATCGCCAAAACAAAAAGCCAAGAGGCTCACTCACTGCTCACTCACTTTTGAATTCATTGGACAAGTAATGGCCCTGCTTGAGGAGCTAAGAGATGCACAGGTGAAGATGAGAGCCATCTAGGCATCCACAGCTGGGGGTGGGGTTCTGCCCAGTGGGTCGCCGCAGGCACAGGGCAGTCATGTTTGAAGACAGACAGTTGGGGCTCTCCGTTGAATGGAATATTTAATTACAGAAGTAGAGTGGAAGCCTCTTAAGAGACGGGATCATGACTGGTAGATGTTTAATTAATCAAAACAGTGCATTAAAGATCAGAATAATGAAAGAAATCTCACACATATATTGGAAACATTTTATTTTAACTGAAAACTTGTATGTGCACATTCCTTGGTCATTCTTCTAATGCATGAACAGTCTATTCTTTGAATGTGGGACAACTGTTACATGTATAAATATTTTGAGATTATTGTGATTTTTTCTCCTTAATCTTTTTGATCTAAACTACACCCAATTTTTTTAAATGTAACTCGCCTTTAAGGAGTCTTTCCAAATCATTGGACTGTCTTCACAGAAACAATTGTCTTTAATTTCACACTCGTGGTTTATACTACAATAAAATACAAAGCCACAGTAGCAAGTGCAGTGGGCAAAAAGGCCTCTTGGCAAACAGGTTAACTGGTGGGAGGAAGCGGAGTGTGCGGGTGTCCTGGGGAGTGTCGCCGAGCCGCCAGCATTCACCGTGGGCGTCATTCAGAATGTATTCAGGGAGTGGAGAGCACTGGTTCATCTGGTGAGTTAGTTCAGTGGAGGCTGATTAAAGCATTTTGACTGTAAGAAAAGTAGGAGAAAAAAGCACAAATTAGAAGGAAAAAAATTGCCCAATCCATCATTTAAGCACAACTACTGATAACATTTTGGTGATTTTCCTTCCTGTCTTTACTTCTATGTATGGTTGTAATTCCACTCTCTATTTTTAAACATCTCTCTTGACTGAGTCACGTAACATTACCCCATTAGCCTGACCCACCCGTCCCACTCTCTTCGCAATCTCCGCTTTGACACACTCCCTCTGTAGCGCCATTTAGAAAGCATTCCGGGGGCCCCTCCTCTAACCTCTCCTGGGAGTTGACTCTGCCTCTTTACCTGCAGATTCAGTATTTCCTGCAGAGGCAGCCGTCCCTGAAGACCTTGTTTGTGGACAGCCACAGTGAGATGCTTTTGTAAGTGACGCTTTGACTCTTACACCTCAATAGCCGACCGCGTCTTTGGGCCCAGCCCGGAGGTTACAGCAATCAGCTCTCACTCGTTCTCTCATGTACGCTGGGCCTGGAACGTAGTAGGGCCTCACAGACATGTTGAATGAATGATGGAAGGCACTCGATAAACGTTTGTTGGGTGAATGAATACTGAGGTCCACTCTGTGCCAGAGGTACCAGGTGCTGGGAATGATAGACCTGTTCCATGCGCCCATGTGGTTTATAGTCTGAGTGAGCTGTACCCTTGTTCATTTTTTCCATCCGTTTGTCCATCCATCTGGGATTCACTGCGTTGGCACTGGAATACTGAGATGAAATAGACATAGTTCCTTCCTTCAAGGAATTTCCAATCTGTAGGGCAGGGTTTCTCAACCTTGGCACTCTGGACATTTTGCACTAGGTAATTCTGTGTTGTGGGGGGCTGTCCTGAGCATTGTAGGATGTTTAGCAGCATCCCTGGCCTCTACCCACTAGATACCAGTAGCACCCTCCCTGTCCCCCAGTCTTGACAATTAAAAATGTCTCCAGATATTGCTAAATGCTCCCCACTTGGGGGGGTGGGTACAAAATCGCCCCTGATTGAGAATCTCTACTTTAGGGGGAGACAGATAAGCAAAAACACAGTTATAAAGCAATGGGGATGTCACGGGGAACCTCCTTCCTTCATAAAATAAGCTGAAACCTTATCAGGTTCCCTTGGAGGGCCCAGGATACAGAGGGGCATTTCAGATGGGGAAAGGCCCTTCTCCTAGGATCTCTACTTATGTCCTCTACTCTGATCTCCAGCTTTCCCTCATTCCTGGGGCCTCTCTCTTTATTCCTGGCAAGTACAAGGAGTTTACTTCTCATCCTATTGCAGCTATCTTGTCCCTAGGACTCATAAAACCCATCTTTTTACTGTAATCTTGAGATACTTACGTTTTAGCTCTAAAGGGCAAATTCAGGGTCTATAGAGTTAGCGCAACACTGATTTGCTTTACTAAGAGAGGCAGTGTTCTCCTACAAAATGTTTTGCCAATAAACTCGATTCTATTCCTAGGAAGACCCATCATGGACGTGTTAAAAATTATTTTATTTTCTCAAAGCTGCCCATGCACACAGGTAAAAATTTAAAAAGTACTAAAAAGCTTATAGCCAATATAGGAGTTCCCTGTCCCCACCCTGCCTGTTTCCTGCAATCTTCCTTCCCAGGGACAATCACTTTCCATTCTTTTAGCTCTTTCTTTTGGCATTTATGCATCTGGTAGAGGAAACTGAACATCTTATATTGCCTTCCCCTCCTCCAGCCTTCCAACATGGTTTGTAATAATTGTTCTTTCACGTAGTATTCAGTATTTGCATTCTTATGCCTCTGCAAATATTATTTGCAATTGAGTTTCACAACATGCTATATTATTTCTTTTCTTTTTGTTTCTCCTAAAGTTAATAATTACCTCGTTTTCACTTGTTTAGTTTTCTTTGTACCCATTGTTAATTCTTTCCACATGTCTCAAAACTGCTCAGTACAATTTTCCTCAATATCAATCACATAAATTATATGATCAGATCCCTCATTTTTTTTTTTCATGAGAGATTTCCTCCTGGAGCGCTGTCCTCCCTTTCTCACTGGGCTGTTGCCTTCTGGGTTGGCTGCTTAGCTGTCATCCTGGGACTTCTCTTTGCTGCCAGCCAAGGAATTCGCCTTGCTTTCCACCTGGGTTAGAGTTCCTGTCTCTTTCTTGATTTTTTCCCCAGTGTTTTGTTTAAGCACATCCTTCAGTATTTCCATCTTGTGAAAAAGATGGTATAATGGCAGAGGGCACAGTGCTGAGAGCTTTCACCATGCCTGGTTCTTGAGTCCCATTGCTCCCATGTGGACATCCAAGGTGTCATCCCTTCACTAGCTCCTTGGAGATCCCTTTCACTTCCCCCCCTTATTTGGATCTCTCATTTTCTGACCCCTATGTCTTCCTCTTTCTTGATCTACTCCTTCGTTTTTGGGGAGGACAGCCTCAACCAAAGAAAGAACGCACATAGTGGGGAAGGGGGGAGTACAATTTCTTTTAAATCTGGCATGTCTGGAAGTATTTCTACTATACCTTTACATTTGATTGATAGTTTGGTTGGGTATAAAATTCTTTTAAAAATTTGAATATATTTCTCTATTGTCTCCTTGCTTCCAGCATTACAGACGGCAAGTCCAAAGCCATTCTGCTTATGGATCTCTTTTAAGACCCATTTTGGATTTTCTCTTTGTAAATCTGTAGTATCTTCTGTTTGTTCCTAGTGTTCTGAAACTTAATGATGTGTCTTGAGGTGGATTTGTTTTTATCCAATGTTCTGGGCACTTAGTGGGCTCTTTCAATGTGGAAATTTATGTCCTTTATTTTTGGGATATTTTCTTGAATTATTTCTTGATCTCTCTTCTGGAACTCCTATGATTTGTATATTGAACCTCCTGACCTAGTCCTGGACTAGTTCTTATATTTTGTCACTTGTGTTCTATCTCTTTATCTTTGGCTCATCTTTCTGGGAGGTTCCAAGCAACTTTAATGTCCAACCCTTCTATTGAGTTTATTATTTTTGATATTGTTTTTAATTTCTAAGTGCTCTTTTAAAAATTTTTGTTTGTTACTTATTTATAGCACCCTATTCTTGTTTCATGGATGCAATATCTTCTTTTGTCTCTCTAAGGCTGTTAAGATAGTTTTTGGTAAATTTTTCTTCTGTCTGCATAATTTTTGTTTTCTCCAAGTTGTTTTCTCTCATTTGCTGTTTTGTTCTCTCGTGTTAGAGGCTATCTTCAGGATACCTGGAAATCTTTGATGTCTGCTCATGATTAAGAGTGGAGGACTAAAAAGCTGACTGGAAGCTCTTCATGTGTGAATGGGGCTTATCAATTTTGAGCTTCACTATAGGCTGGTCTAGATAAACCATTTATTGGAGAATATCCAAAGTCAGTGTATTGCATCTTTTTAATCTTCTGCTGGAGGGAAGAAGTCTGGCCGCCAGCTTTCTGAGAGCTGAGTGGAAAAGAGGGCTTTCTGTAATCTGTATTGTATAAAAATCACATCGTGTCCTGTTTTTAGTAAAATACCAATGTTTTCACTGGTGTTTGAAGAAACTAGGTCCAAAAAACCCTCTGTTTTATCTTCTTCAGAAAAACCTCCACTCTTCCTTGTTTTAGGTTTCTTCACCTCCCCTCCAGAGGTCCCGGAGCCCTTTGAGGCTCCTTGATTAAAGAGTGGCTGCTCAGCTTCCCCCACCACGGATTCGGATTTGGCCCTCTTGGGTCTGCCAAGTCAGTTTCCATTTGTTCACTGCCGCCCAGCTTCCAAAATCCATGTATGGGGACTCCATTTGCCGCCCGAGACAGCCCTTTACCTATTTCAACTGGCATTAGTTCATATTTTGGCCAAGGTTCTGCAAATGTGGAGTAATAGTTTTTCTTTGCAGCAGAACTCCAATTGATGAGCCAGTTTATTGACATCAGTTTTCAATAGACTCACATCGGCCAGGTGGCCGATTTGGCTGGGTTCTCTCACACAGATGGGAGGTGAGGTGTCAGCGTGGTCTACAGTGTACATGTATCTGGGGGACTTTAGGGAGGAGGCCATGACGAACCTGGAGACCTTGGATGAATAAGTACAGAAGGGACCACTGAGCAGACTCTGTCATAGGATCGTCCAGATGTCCTCCACCCTGCCCAGGGCGCCTACTTGGGCAGCCTCCACCAGAAGAAGGAGCTGAGAGACCTTTTCCCTGGCTCTGCTCCTGAGTTTGAGGGCGTGACCAATAGTCTCTACCTGTGGTTTTTCAGGAGAGCACGGCCTGTCCCTCCTTGCGGGCCTAGGCCTCCTAGGTTCTCTGCTGTCCGTGAGGCTGTTGTTCCTGGGGACTGAGCAGGGAGGTTGTCAGGGATAACGCAGTGTTTCTCAGCCTTTTTTCATTACTACCTTTTAGACGTTTTTTTCTACTTCCCCCTCCCATGAAATCTAATACCACAAATATACTGTATAGCTGTTTATGTACTGTATTTATATCTGTGCCTTATGTATAAAGAAAATAAGATTTTATACACACCTGCCCTTCCACCCCAAATGAATATTTGCCCTCTTGGGGGTGACATTACTCCCACTGAGAATCATGGGCTGAAGGAGACAGGAGACCCAGCCCTACCTCCCACCACAGCCTGTGCCTCTGAGGAGAGGCCCAGACAGCTGGGGTCTTCTTCTGGGGGGGGGTGCCAGGCCTCCCAGGTGCCCTTAGACAGAGCTTCCTGTCCCTCCGCCCTCAGCTTTGTGCAGTCGCTGTTCATGCTGGGGACCGTGGTGCTGTACTTCTGCCACCGCAAGGAGTACGTGGCCTCCATGGTGTTCTCCCTGGCCATGGGCTGGACCAACATGCTCTACTACACCCGCGGCTTCCAGCAGATGGGCATCTATGCCGTCATGATTGAGAAGGTGGGTGCCAGTGCCTGAGGGGGTTCTCCACAGATCCTGTTTGCCTCATGGGTGTGGGGGACACAGTCCCACAAACTCTGTCCACCCTCCGTATGGTCTGGGGAGGTTCTGGTTTAGCTCAGGACCCACTTTCCTAGCTAATTCCTCAAGAATCAGGCAATCTGGGCTTGACCAAGGTTTGGGGGCTCCCCTGAAACTTGACGCCCCTGTATATCAGGCCCCGCTCTCCCTCCCCCAGAGCAAAGACCCTGGGGGAGCCGTGGATGACTCCCTCATGACACCAGAGTTGAAGCCCACCAAACCCCACCCCCCCCGCATGTTCTCCGGTTCTCCTGGGGCTCCAGATGAACCCCCAGGCTGACGCAGTCCTGGCCCTTCCCTTGCCCTGCCTGGGGCCCAGACTTGGTTCTGACAAGTCTGCTCTCTCCTGCAGATGATCCTGAGAGACCTGTGTCGCTTCATGTTTGTCTACCTGGTTTTCCTGTTCGGGTTTTCCACAGGTAATGGGCTTGGCTGGGGCTGGTGGGAAGGCAGGGCCCCTGCTCACCTCAGCTCTCTGAGGACTCTGCAGGGCTGGGGGTCAAGGGGCCCGGTGGGGGTGCGTCTGCAGGTGACAGAGAGGATGGGTGAAGAACACATCGAAATGAGCAAGAGAACCTGGAAATGTGGTTCATAAAATGTTTTAAGTAATTTTTGAGGCACAAAGTGTTGCTTGCCTGTAGGATAGCTGCTTTATGGCTCATTTTTTAAAAAAAATCTTATTTTGACATTATTTCAGACTTACAGAAGAACCGCAAAAATAGTACAAATCTGTCTACACTCTTTACCCAGATTCCACGTTTTTAGCACATTCTCTCCCTGCTCTACACATACACACGCACACATACACACCCCACACACTTAAAAAAAAAACGAGAGTAAATTGCAGACATGATCAGCTCTTTCCCACTAAATACTTCAGTATGCATTTCTTAAAAACAAGGACATTCTCTTACATAAACGTAGTGTAATGATCAAAATCAGGAAATTAACATCGATATGGTATTGTTAGCTAATCTACCAACCTTGTTCAAATTTCTCCAATTATACTAATAATGTCTTTTACAGAAAAGGAAAATCCCAGATCATGCATTCCATTCAGTTGTCATGCCTCTTCAGTCTCCTCCAATCTGGAGCGGTTCTTCAATCTTCCCTTGTCTTTTGTGACCTTGGCATTTTTAATGCTAAAGGCCAGTTTTTACAGTGTCTCTCCTTTTGGGTCTGTCCCACCTTTCCTCACAATTAGATTCCGGTGCGCATCTTCGGTCAGACTATTAAGGAGATAACGTGTGTCTTCCTCGGTGCATCGTATCAGGAGTCTCATGTTATTTGTCCCATTTCTGGTGATGTGGACTTTGATTACTTTGCTTTCTTGGATCTGCCAGATTTTTCCAATGTCAAGTTATTTATCTTTCCCTTTGTAATTGTTAAGCACTTTGTAAGGAGATGCTTTAGACTATGTCTAAATATCCTGTTTCTCAATAAAAGTTTCTCCTGGTGGGTTGAGCACCCACTGATGATTCTCACCTGAATCACCTAATCCTTGTGGTTGCCCAGTGATGACTCTGGAACTCCTTCATTCCTTCTGCATTCATTTGCTGGCATTCTATCGTGAGGAATAGCTTTCCCTTCTCCCACATTTATTTATTGACATCAGTCTGGCCTTATAGATTCTTTTCGTTTTTGTTTTTTATGGAGTCTCTCTTTCTTAGATGGTTATAACTCCTTACTATTATCATCTACTTTGATGCTCAAATTGTCTGAGAAGTTGTCACTGGGAACCTCTTCAGGCTGGCTCCTGTGTCCTTTGGACACATCCACATAATTATTTTGAGCACCTGGCTCTGCTTTGATCCTCATCTGAGTCCTGCAGTTACATGGTTCACATGGTATACCCTCTGCTGTCCCCGCCCTACAGCCTGTTTTGGAATCTCTGTCTGGGAGTTATGGGCAGCTTAGACTAGGAGCTTTGCCTCATAGGGATTGGTGTGGGCTCTGGCAGCTTGTCTGAAGGCCCTGCCTATCAGCAGCCACAGGAAGGGATTAGGCCCAGGGGGTTAGTGGATACCGATTTGCAGTAACCATGTGGCACAACTGCTGCAGAAGCTCTTAGGCTCTGGACTTCATTTCCCAAAGAAGAGTGCAGAATACAGCAAGAGGCCTTTCTGCTCTGAGCTGCTTAGCCCCCGTGGTTCTGGAATGGGCTGGCTCTGGACCACCTTCTAAGGGGCACAGGCAGACAGGGTGTCGCTGAGAAAGTGAGTGTGGATCCAGGGCTGACATGTAAGATTAGGCATGTTGTGTACTGCACAAAGGTGGCTGTATTCTCATTGTACCTATAGATTTGTATGTTTATTTTAACATTTTTTCCTAGCAGATGATGATAAAGTTCTTATCATAACAAAACAGTATATTATGACAATTTTCTAACAGTTTTGAAGTGGGTGCTGTCTTTTTTTTTTTTAATTCACACAAAGGCGCTCTATAACCAAGCAGCATTCCTGCTGTGGACTCATCCTGGGGTCGTGGGTGTGTATGTTGGGGTCTTGGCTTCCGTCCAGCCACAACTCTCCCTCCCTATGCCCTGTAGCGGTGGTGACACTGATTGAGGACGGGAAGAATGACTCCGTGCCAGCTGAATCCATGACACACAGGTGGCGAGGGCATGGCTGCCGGTCACCTGACAGTTCCTACAACAGTCTGTACTCCACGTGTCTGGAGCTGTTCAAGTTCACCATCGGTATGGGCGACCTGGAGTTCACCGAGAACTATGACTTCAAGGCTGTCTTCATCATCCTGTTGCTGGCCTACGTGATTCTCACCTACATCCTCCTGCTCAACATGCTCATCGCCCTCATGGGAGAGACTGTCAACAAGATCGCACAGGAGAGTAAGAACATCTGGAAGCTGCAGGTGGGTCAGTCGGTGGGGTGTGCACAGCAGGAGGGTGTCAGCTGCTCTTTCTGCTGCTTAACACAGCTGGGTGCGTGAGCCCCGGCAGATTTAAGGAGGAGGAGGAAAGCCCAGCCAGGCCCAGGGGGTCAAGCAGCAGCATCTCCCCCAGTGAACTCCCTTCTGGCTCCTCCTGCAGGGTTTCCCTGCCCAGCGTCGTCAGCTTGTGTTCACAGACACTGTGTTTACTGTGGGCTAAGTGGTCCTCGAGGGAAGGAGATGAAGGACTTAGCTCCATGGGTGGCTCACCTCAGAGGAACTTCCCCAGGGTGGGCACCGGAGACCAAACTCAGAGGTAGTAGCTAATATGGGGTGGGCGCAGACAGCTGCGTTTTTGAGCCACCTGGTCCACATCTGCCTTCTCAACTAACAATAGAGGTATTACGTTTATTAAGTAACACTGACTCTATGCCAGGTACTCTCCTAAGGGTCTCACGTACATGCTCTCATTTAATCCTCACAATGATGCTGTCGAGTGGGTACGATTACTGTCCCCAGTTCTGGATGAAGGCACTGAGGCGTGGAGAAGTTAGGTATCTGTGTCCAAGACAACTAGTGAGTAGCCCAGCCAGGATTCAGCCCCTACAGTCTCACTCCTGAGGCCTGCTCTTAACCACTACACTGTGTTGCCCCTTCGTGAGCTTCTCAGGGAAGGATGTGGGCTGGTACACTCCACATCACTCATGGGGCTGAGTGGGCTGAGCTCCTTCCACAGAGTGTGCACCTGCCAGCTGCAGAACAAGCCCAGTGTAGAGGCCACGGGAGGTCCAGCTGGGATGTGCTGGGGCTGGGAGAGACTCTGGAGAGGCTGATCTTGGCAGCCAGCACCAGCAGCCAGGGGCGGTCCCTGGATGAACCCTCAGCCCCTCCGCCCTTTGTGTCTTCCCGCAGAGAGCCATCACCATCCTGGACACGGAGAAGAGCTTCCTTAAGTGTATAAGGAAGGCCTTCCGCTCAGGCAAGCTGTTGCAGGTGGGGTACACACCCGACGGCAAGGATGACTACAGGTGGTGTTTCAGGTAATTCCCCGGCAGGAATCAAAGCTTGGGGAGCTCAGGGGCTCAGCTGTGGGTATGGGGGACCCACCTGCAGCCAGCTGTGGGTATAGAGGCCTGCCTCAGGGCCTCTTGGGGCCAGTCATGGGCATAGGGGACTCTCCCAACGCCAGCCCTAGGTACAGGGGCTGCCCCAGGGCTCGGCTGTGGGCTTAGGGGACCCACCTTAGATCTGGGTGAGACCTAGACATTAAATACTGGAAAACGAGGTGTCCAGAAGTGGTCATCTGATGATCAGGGTCAAAACCAAGAATCAGATATTTAAAGTCCCTAGGCCTCATAGTAGGGGTGGTGTCCAAAAGGCAGGCCCCCCTTTGGCCCTCCCACACTAGCTATGTCTCCCCATCCTGGTCTATGGGCTTCTTGGGATTGGCCTGTGGGGCCAAGCCCTCGACCTGGGAAGCTGGGCATGGCTTTTAGGCCACTAGCTCCCTGCTCCCCCATCTCCTCACCCTGCAGGGTGGATGAGGTGAACTGGACCACCTGGAACACCAACGTGGGCATCATCAATGAAGACCCTGGCAACTGTGAGGGCATCAAGCGCACCCTGAGCTTCTCCCTGCGGTCAGGCAGAGGTGAGGTGTGAGGGGAGGGTGCTGTGGCATGGAGGTGGCCTGATGGTGGGCAGGTGAAGCCTTGGGGTCCCCCACTCCTTGCAGGCCTTCCTCCCCCCACAGCCTGGGCACTGTGACAGCCCCAGCGTCAACCACCGGCTCACACTCAGTCACGGGCACTCGTGCGTGCCTTCAGGCACACCCGCACAGCTGCCTGCTCTGCATGCGCATGCATGCGGCTCTGCCAGCACCCCTGGCCCCACACCTGTCCTCAGTGCCCCAGCGGAAGCAGCTCTTCCCACATCCAGCCGCCTGGGCCAGCTGGGCCCGCTGTGGGCTGCCCCGTCTCCTCTGCACCGTTTCTCACACCCAGTGTCTGCACTCAGCTATGTGAGGCTTACGGACAAATGGGGGCACGCGAACACTCTCCTCACATGGACACATCCAGGCAGGCAGAGGAGGGAAGAATGGGAAGAGAAAGGGTACACCTTGAACAGAACAGCCCTGCGGAAAGTCACTACCAGAAAAAAAAGCCTTGTTCTTGATTCAGCGTTGGCTTGGTTGCTGTAAACCTTGGACTGTTTCCCAGAGTTCTGACAGCATTGGTCCTGAAGTTTCTGCTTGTTTTTCTGATGTTTTGTGGAGGCCTGGGTGTTTGGAGCTGCCTACCTTGCCTTTTTGCTGATGTCACTAATTCTTAAAATGAACAAAGAATGAATCAAGTGTTGATAGTTTGTTTTTTTCGGCAGGGTGGGGAAAGGGGTGTGAGTTTTCAGACCAACTTGCCTGGTAGCATGATGCTGCATCTTTCATATTTGATATTGCTTTATACTCATTTTTTATATTTCATAAACGATAAAAAAGACCAACTTTATTGAGGTATAATTTACACACAATAAAATGCACACATTTTAAATGTACAATTTGATAAGTTTCGACAAATGTACACATTCAGGCCACCACAACCCTACTCAAGGTGTAAAATATTTCCATCAAGGCAGAAAGTACCCTCCTGCCCCTTTGTAGTCAGTTCCACCCTCCCCATCCCAGGTAACTAGTTACCTAATTTTATCACTATAGATAGTTTACATCAGCTTTCGTTACCTGAAAATGTTCATGTTATCCTCATGTTTGAAGAATATTTTCATTGGATGTAGAATTCTTTGGTTTTCAGCAGTTTGACTAAGATGTACTTAGGTATGGTTTTCTTTGGTTTTATCCTGCTTGGGATTTGCTGAGATTCTTGGCTCTGTACATCAGGAAGTTTCATCAAATTTGGGAAATGATATATATTTTGCTTCATTCTCCCTCTCTTCTCTTTTTGGGACCCCAATTATGTGTATGTTAGACCATCTGATATTGTCCCATAGGTTTCTGAGGCTTTGTTCATTTTTCCTCGGGTTTTTTCTCTTAATTTCTATTGATCTGTCTTCAAGGACACTGACCCTTTCCTCAGCCATCTCCAAACTACTATTAAGCCTGTCCAGTGAATATTACATTTCAATTATTGTGCTATTTGGTTTTAGAATTTCTATTTGGTTATTTTTTATAGTTTCCATTTCTCTCCTAAGAGCCCCTAGCTGTTCTGTCATTAAGACCATATTTTCCTTTGGATCTTTGAATGTATTTATAATAGGCTGCTTTACATTCTCTGCCTGCCAAATCTACTAAATCCAACATCTGGGCCGTCTCGGGGTCAGTTTCTATTGACTGCCTTTTTTCCTGACTATGAGTCACATTTCCGTGTTTCTTTGCACGTCTCGTAACTTTTAATTGTATACTGGGCATTGTGAATAATATGTTTTAGGGACTCTGGGTTGAATTTTTGTTCTAGTTGGCTGTTCAGTTACTGATGAATCACCTTGAGATTGTGTAGGCTTAGTTTTAAACTTTGTTATGATAGATCTGTGGAAATACCAAGGTATTTGCCAATCCCATCAAGCTTGTGGGACTCAACCTCCTGACTGTTTCCTCTAAGGATCTTGTCAGGACTTGGTTTTAGGCTTCTTTAGGGTGGGTCTTGAGTGGACCTTACTCTGGGATGTGTAGAGTAAGTAGGGCATTTCTGATGTTTTAGCTTGATCCTCAGAGTAGCGAAAGGGTGTTAAGGAGGTCTCTCTGCTCTGGCTGGGCTGGACCTCCAGTGTCCCTCAGTACTGCTCAACCTCTGGTGTCTCTGTCCCACTTTCAACCCCATAACGGCCACTCTCTGGTAAGCCTCATGCAGTCTCACCGTGAGCAAGCTCAGCCCAGCTCAGCTAAGGACTTGGGGGGACTCCATCCCAAAGACTTCTGCACCTCCACCCCACAGCCCCCTTCTTTCTCTTCTCCTGTGCCCTGTCCCACAGATTCTAGCTGCTTCAGCTGCCCCAGACTCTGATCTCCTCTTCCTTAGCTCAGAGGCATTGCCGTGCTCTGCCTGGACTCCTTCTCCCTGCACTGTAGTCAGAGAACTTGTCCCCGAGAAAAACATCAGGGCCATGCTGAGGCTCACCTGGTGAATGTCACCTCTCTCAGCAATGGCAGTTTTCACTACCTGTTGTCCTATGCTTGAAAACATGGCTGCCTGCATTGTGTCCAGTTCTATGGTTGTTTACAGAAGGATGGCTAGCCTTGTCCTAGATACCCCATCAGAGCTGGAAGTGGAAATCTATCAAGAGGCTTCCTTTTGGAAAACTACTCAAGGGCTTCATCAGTTTTCCCAGAGGCCTCCTGCAAGCCTGTTATTTTCCCACAGTCTCATGGAAGCACTCCCCGTGTCATGTCATAATACTTATTGATGGTCTCTTCTTCAGTTAACTGGTCTAACTTTGCCACAGAGTGCACGTGACTTGAGCAGTTTTCCAGCATCAGTCTTGTGATTTCATGAAATCTCACATCTTTTACAAGATTTGCTGTTTCACTTGGAGGATGATTTGCATTATGTTTGCATGACATTGTTGGCTGTTTACAATGCTGTCCATTCAGTGTGATATTAATAAAGACATCGGCCCAGTGGCAGGGATACACACATTCATGTTACTTTGGGTGTGGCTGGGGGATGGTTAGAGGTTCCCCGATTTCACACCTATAATTAATTAGTGAATATTTCCTGAGGATTTTGCTTTCCTACACAACTATGCAACAGTGACAACTCCAGTAATAAATAGTCAGATCATTTAGATAGCAAGGATCTCCCCTGACCCACATAGTGTGTGTGATTGGGAGGGGGTGAAGGAGTGCGTGAGAGAAAGGCCAGGGAAGAAAAGTGGTTAGTAAAAGAGCTGGGAGAGCACGTGAAGGGGTTTGGCATCAGGACTGGGAGCCCCATACCTCCGTTAAAGGCCCTGGAGCTGGAGCTGGGCCAAGCAGTCCCTGAGGCTGAGTGTCCCCCCCACCCAGCCAGCCAGAGATGGTATGTCAATGAGCACCTGGGCTGTCTCCCCATGGAGCCCTCCCGCTTTTATGCTCTTGTTCCCTGAGGGATCACCTTCAGCACTTGGTGCTTGGTGTCAGCCTGAGGTTGGGGGACAGGCCAATGTCAGCCTGTGGGCCTGGGGGAAACACTAGGACCTGGAGAATTCCTCTGGAGTGGTCATGATGGGCCCAGCATCCAGCATTCCTGATGCCTTTGAAATGTGGCCAGTGTTGGACACCAGCAGAGGGGCCTGAATCGTGGCCTCAGGGTGGGAGCTGTGAATTTAGGCTGGTTTTCCATTCAGTGTGAGAGATCTGACCCAAGGTGGCCAACCAGAGGGCGTGGCTGACCAAGGCTCTGGGAAATGGAAGGAGAACACGCACAGCTGTCCCGCTTGCCTGTCATTTCTCTGAAGTGGCTGGGGGGCTGCAGGTGGCTATGGGGATGACGATGGAGTCCTCTTCAGGAGCTTCCTGGGATATCAGGCCACACCTGAGAGCCCCATTTGAGGCCCAGTATCACCAGGGTTCCCTTGGCTTTGTTCCCAATCTGCTATGCCGTGGTGGGGCCTGGACCCCAAATCATGAGTCTTTGGCTGGTGTCCATCACCCTAGAGCTGACCTGGTGTTGAGCCACTCCTAGCGCAGGCTCAGTGTTGCTCTGTGGAGACCTGCTCTCCCTCGAGGTGGGCAGGGAGGGAATGGAGGCAAGAGAGGCAAGTACTTGATTCTCTTGAGGCCACAAGCAAGTCGGGGTGGGGTGAAAGATTATTATCTGGAGATTGGTAAGGCCAACAAGTAAATGTTTATTATTGTTTTGCTGTATCCAATACCATAATGATGGTTCACCCTTCAGTTTCAGGGAGAAACTGGAAGAACTTTTCCCTGGCTCCCCTTTTGAGAGATGCAAGTGTTCGAGAAAGGCAACCTGCCCAGCCTGAGGAAGTTCATCTGAGCCACTTTGCAGGGTCCCTCAAGCCAGAAGATGCTGAGATCTCCAAGGCTCCCACTGCTTTAGGGGAGAAGTGAGGGACCCCCACAGGGGGCTCTCAACACTATGGGCCTCAGGGTACCACACGTCGCTGGGGGGCTGGGTAGGGAGCACCAGCGCTCTCAGCAGCCTGGCCTGGTCTGCACCTGCCCGGGCGTTTTCCCAGGCTGCACTGGACAAGCCGTGGGAAGCATGCTGGCTGCATGGGGAGCGATCTTCACCCAACCCTCCCTGTCCCCAGGTGGCTCTCCTAACAGGAAAGGAGCTCGCTTTTAAGGTTTTACTGGCTTTATTAAACATCACGAACGATGAATCTCTGCTTGGATATATGTGATGCCCCTGTTATCTTCAATTTTATATTACTGGGAGTGAAAGGAAATGAAGCCCAGGAAAACACCTTTTAGAACAAGACACTTCCTTGGATGTAAAATGCTGAAAGCCTTCTTCCACATCTCCCCCGTCCAGAGTGGTCTGGGGCTGGTGTCGTTCACTCCTCAGAGAAAGTGGGGGAGGCTGGCCCCATTGCCAACTCTGCCAGAATCGGGTTTTTTCAGAGCAACTTCATCCTTCTGTGATACATCACGATTGCAAAAATATTAGCTCTATTCCTTTTCAAATACAAGTACAGAACCGTGTCCCAAAGCCACGTGGCAAGAATTTTTTGATCTTTCGTTTGTAGTGACCACAGTCGTGCCCCCCGCAGTGGCACATGTTTGTCCCTCCATCTATCCTGTCATCATCAAATAGATAAATAAACAAATATGTATCATATCGAGTGTGAACTTTGTGCCAGTCATTGGGCTGGCATAGCTGGTTGGCTCTATGAGGTCCATGTGTGCGTGTGTGTGCATGTGTGTGTGTGTACTACCCCATACGGCCAGGAGCCCCTGGTTGCCCTTTAGCTGTTACCTGTTGGTGAGGGCATTTCTTCATGTGTACACCTACCATACTCAGCAAACTATGGTCCATGGGCCAAATCCAGCCTGCCACCTGTTCTTGTAAACAAACTTTACTGGAACACAGCGCGGCCATTCATCTCTGTGCTGTGACTGCTTTCATGCTGCAGTGCAGAGTAGAGTAGTTGCAACAGAGACCGAATAGCCTGCAAAGCCTGAAATATTTACTATCTGGCCCTTTGCAGAAGTTTGCTGACCTCTGCTTTATGGAACAGAACTCAAGAAACAGTGATCCAGAAGAGATGCCCGACATTGGCAGGGTTGTGTTAATGTCTGTGGGGTGTGGAATGAGCGGCCCAGTCACAGAAGTGTTGGATGTTGGTTCATGAAAGGATGGATGACATTAGCTGAGGCCAGAGCTTCGGCCCTACCATGAGAGGGGTATCTAGAGGAGACACTAGGACCCCCTCCTCCACATTCTCCAGCATCACGTCTGCCTCCACACATGAGGCCTGACAGAGGAGCCCGGAGGCTGGTTGACAAGGTGGTTGGGTGTGAAGTAAGTCGCGGCCAGACTATGACAAATGAGCATAGACAAAGAATACTGACGGCTAGACTATACTGAATGTTTATACAGTGTTCGATGTGCATTATCCTTTCAAGCCTCCTAATAGCCCATGAAAAACTATTAGCTCCATTTTATAGGTGAGAAAACCGAGGCTGGGACAGTTAGTAAGATTACACAGACAGTTAACAGCATCGCCTGGGTCTGACCCCGGGTAGTCTGACTCTAAAGCCCAGAGCTTAACTGCGGTGCCCGGCTGCCTGGCAAAGAGCCGGCTGGGGCATGCGGCCTATCTCTGGGTCAGAGAGGAGACGTGAGGGCTTCTCGCTTCCTGTCCTGGGCCCCGGACCCCTTGCTTTACCTGCAGGCCTTCTCAGAAAATGTCGTGTTGATGTCTGGTATCTGCAAGTTTCTGCAAATTGGATCAACTTTCAAACTTAGAGCTGGAAGGAATCTTATGGGTGTTCTTTTGTGAAATGAATGATCACAACCTTTTGTGTGAACCCGGGTTGCTTAAAGGACACACGTGCAACTAGCCCGCTCCTTTTCTTTTTGTGTCTGTCACTGTCTCTTTATCTCTCTCTGTCTCCGTGTCCCCGCCTCCATCAGCTGGAGGCAGGATGAGCCACAACCCAGAATCCCCAATGGGGCTGCTCAGCTCTCCTAGCCCAGGGATAGCTGTGGCCTGCCAGGACGCAGACGGACCCTCTCCTGACCACTGTTGGGTGGGTCTGCTCAGGCCTGAGGCTGCCGATGGAGCTCTGCCTGGTTCCCAGTCCCCCTCCTTCCTCACTGCACCCAGTGGCATGTTTCCTAGAGCAGGCTATGGGATCAGCCCTCCCTGGCTGCACCCACCCCACAGAGACCCTTTCTCTCCCTCTTCCATCTTGAGGGGGACCTTGGGGCCCTGCCATCTGGGCCTGATGTCTGCAGGGCTTGGGAGGTTTGGGGAGCAGGGGAGATCTGCTCGATGCCTGCTTGGTGTGTCCTCTGTGGGGCGTTTTAGTCCACAGCAGACAGACATGGCTCAGACAGACACTGTCTGAGACACAGACAGAGCTTCTGCTCTGACCTCAGTCTGGCAAGATGGGGGCACATGTTGGGTATGTTGGCAGATGTCTAGGGACTGCCTGAAATTCAGGCTTCTGGGGAGCAGGGTTGCGGCAGGAATATCCAAAGGCTGCCCTTTCCCTCTTCCTGCTGGCATCCCACCTCTGGCCCCATCTCCCCTTGTTGTTTTGCTCCACATGCACGGCCAATTTGAGAGGTCCTTCCCAGGACTGTTGCCTCTTTAGGCCCTGCTTGTTCCATCCACTGTCAGAGAAGGACCTGAGGTCACTGATGACGAGTGGGCACACCATGGTTCATGGCTGCACCAAGGAATGAGGAGCCAGATTGGGGATGGCAGTTTGTGAACTCTTCCAGGCGGTGAATGAACGCTGCCAGTCACCCACGTGGCAGCCGAGGCTGAGAGGGTGATACTGGGTTCTACGGGGCTCCAGTCTCGGCAGAAGGAGGCAGGACTCCTGGCTCCACGCTCCTGCCACTGTGCTGCGTGGGCCCCAAACACAGGGCAGGAATTCTACCAGGACAAGGGGCAGCCGGGGTGCTGCCTTTGGTTTGAGGTGCTGGCTCAGCCCAGCTGGTCAGTTCCCTGCCTGACCACATTGGTGACAGCATCCCCAACAAGGCCCTGTGCCCCATGCCCTGTAAAGTTGAGCCAGCACAGCCCTTTGTGACTAAAGAGTCAGGGCTGACTCAGTGGCTTGGGGCCACTCAGTGGGCTACAGCCAGATATGGCAGCCCCGCTCTGATACCCCACCGAGTTCACGTTGCGCAAGCTCGTCACCACTTCCTGAACGTGCTGGGGTCTCTTGCCTCTGAGTCCCTGCTCCCGCGGCTCTCCTTGTGTAGACCGTCCCCGCTCCTTCAGAGTCCAGCCCAAATGCTCCCTCTTCCCTGAACCCATCCCCCACCTCCCTCCTTGGTGGCCTGAGTCCTCTTTGTCCTTAACCTGCCCAGTGGGGTTAGGTTCCCACCTGAGCCTGTCTCCCACAGGCCCACAGTGCCTTGAGGGTGGAGACCACCTTCTTCGGTTCTGAACCCTGTACTGGCCCCTTGCCCCCAACACGGGCTCTCATGACGTGTTGGATTAAATGGGATTGCATGGAGACCAGTCCAAGGGACTGGAGCTGCTGCTTCCATGAGTTTGGGGTGGGGCTAAGGGACAGTGGCTCTGACTCTGTCGGGCACCTTGGCCCTGGCCCATATACAGCAGAGCGGGCTCCCCTTCCTCCTTTCTGGGCATAGTATGTGCCTTTGAGTGGGAGACAGGGGTCTTGTTAACCAGCTCCAGGCTGGCCTTTGAGAAAATGTGCTAACACAAGGCAAAACATAAACGCTGAAATTTGGCAACAGCCTCACCCCCAGGGTTCTGAGGCAATCAGAAGTAAGCTGGGAGGGGCGAGGGGCTGAGTCAGGAGGGGCAATTAATTGAGTAATATAGGAAGGACTGTGCTTGGTCCAAGATGGGGCTTTAACGTGGAGCTTCCAGGAGTGATGAGATTTTGAACTGTGTGTGTGAGAACTTTGGGAAACAGCCGCCTACTTCATGCACACCTGAAGCCTATTGGCCACAAAGCCAAGTTTTCTGCCTGTTCCTGGCCACAGGTCCTGCTGTCCCATGGTCAGAAGCCTGGCCCCGCCTCCTGCCTCTCCCCAGGCCTGGCAGGTTGTGGTGAGGGGGGATCCAGGGGCTTGCCCCGGTGGCAGTCAGGGAAGTCCCTGCTGCATCAGTCACCGGGGCCACCGTCCTTGTCAGCAGAGACTTCCTGCCCCATCCCAGTCCTGTCCTGCCTGCAGGAACAGGTGTGCAATTCCTGAGTGACGTGGAGACAGGCAGGGCTGCCACCCTCTTCCCAGCGGTGGCCTGGGCCTGAGGGAGGGCACAGGGTATTTCCTGGAGCTCTGGCCTTGGAGGCAGGTGGCTGGGGCAGTTGCTGGGAGAATGAATCGGCATGACACAAACAATAATAGCTAATAGCTTTCATGGTTTATTGAGTTCTTTCTGAGCTCCGAGCCTTGTTCTAGCCCTTTCTATGTGTTTTCTCATTTAAGCCCCATGGTGACTGCAAGGTGGGTTTATTATGCACATTTCACAGATGAGGAAACTGAGGCTTGGGAGAAATGACTTGCCCAAGGCCATACAGTCTGAAAGGGGTGAGACTGTCTGACACCAAAGTCTGCAGTGCCTAATTTCTGGTGGGGAACATTGAATGGAGACTTCCTTTGTCTCCGAGGGGACCTGATCCCAGACTTTGGATGGACACCAAGGATGGATACCAAGTCTTGGGGCTGGTTGCCTTGGGGTCAGCTGGGCCAGCCCTCAGCTGTGGCCTTGCCTCCTGGGGTCAGGGCAGAGCACCTGACTGTTCACTAGGCCCTCCCACTAGCAGGAGCTCTTCAACTCCTCACAGCATCCTTGGGAAGCAGGTATTATGATTTCCAGTTCCCAGGTGGGGAAAATGAGGCTTGTGATGGGAAGCATCAATACAAGAGAGGGAAGATTTGGGACCAGAATTTCAGCCTTGGCACTTGCTGCCTCCCCTGCCTTCTCCTGGGTCGGGGTGAGGCTGGCGTGTGGGTGTGGGGTTGACTCACACAGGGCACGTGGGTGGGCAGGCGCTGCAGCTCCGGCTGGTGGGTGTGGCCTGCCTGGCACCTACAGCAGGTGGCCCAGCCAGTTCTGCCTCCGACGCCTCATTCCAGCCATCCCTCTGCCTGCGATGAGAGCCTCTTGCCGCCTCAGCCACAGTCCCACTTGGGGGCCTTGGGCCCGGGACATGCAGTGATCTCAGAGCAAGGGCAGCCACTGCCACCTGGACCTCACCAGGTGAGTCCTCACTGCGCGTGGCAGCCGGTGCCCTCCAAGGCCCCGGGGGAGCCCAGAGCGAGGACCTCAGGGGTCTTCTGGGCCATGTCTGCCCATTGCCGATAGGCCTCGCGGGAGGGTTGGGAGGGAGCGTGGGCCTCTAGCAGGGCCAACAAGACTAGACGGGAGCTCTTGGCCGCAGGGAGTGTGCGGGAGCACAGGTTCTGCTGGGTCCAGGAAGCTGTCCCTGAGGTTTGGGAATCTTGGGGAGGGAGAACCCTACAGCCACCCTGGGCCAGAGGTGAGGCTCCTGTCTCAGTGTGATGGGAGCTCAGGATGGGATGAGGTGGCCCCAGAGATTGAGAGGGCCAGGGCCAGGCATCCCACAGGTGCTGGGCCAGCAGCTGTGGGGGCTCCCTGTGGCCCTGGGCCAGGTCCGTCTCCCAGGAAAGGCCATTCCAGTCTGTATTAGGCCTTGGGAGGCACTACCCAGGTGAGGTGAACAAACCCAATCCCAGAGAGAGGGAGGGCCTGGGCAGGGAGAGTCCAGCCGGTGAGAATGCATAATTTAAGGCGTGACTCAAGGAGATAATTATAGTTGCCACAGCTGCAGTACAAAGTTTTCCTGACCATCTCCTGCCCCGGCTGCCCAGGACTGCCCCACACTTATGGGCCCAGGGCAGGGAGGATGGGATAGCCAGCTGTCATTAGTGAGAGCTATAGGGTCCTTGGGGACCATTCAGCCCATTTCTCAGAAGGGAAAACAGAGGCCCAGGGAGGGGTAAGAGACATGCCCTCTATCCCTCTCCTTCATTCTTGGCCCAGCCCAGCCTTTTAGCCCCATCTGTCCACGGGTCACTCTGGATTGGGGAAGATGGTAAAGGCCACCCATCCTCATCAGGCTGTGACTGGGGATGTGGGCAGGGGCCTGGCTGTTCACAGTTCTCTCTCAATGGGCTGCTCCACCTATCCGGCCTGGAGGCCCCTCCTCAAAGCTCCTTGCCTCAAGGTGCCTGCACTCTAGGGCCAAAGGCCTCCCCTGGACGACTTCTCCTCTCCCAAGGCTGCACACTTTTAGTCGGGGTTGGGGGGGCGGGCTGTCCTATTTCCAAACCTCACTCCAGTCCAATGACAACCTGCTCCAGACACCTCCTCCAGGAGGCTTTCTCATCTGAGGCAGGATCACCAGTGGCCCCAGGTCTAGCCCACCCAGCCGGGATCTTCTTACAGAAATCCGCCCCTCACCCCACCTCCATGACTCTGAGGGAGTTCTCTGTGGACAGCTCAAGCTGAGACTGGACCCCCATTAAATACCGGAGAGTCACATCCAGTCCACATGACGCTTTCCCCCGTCCGTCTCACCCTCTGTGGCCAGCCTACGCTTCCCCATCCCGATGGCCTGGCAGCAGCTTCCTCCTGGCCCCCTGGCCTCTGGTCTCCTCCACCTCCTAGGCAGCCTGCTCTCTCTAATGTGGCTATAACCCGAAGCCCTCCCATGCCCGCACTGCCCTGGGGATCAGTCACAGCTCCTGACTGGTGTCCCGGGCCTTCACAACGTGGCCGAGCCTCCTCCCACTGCCAGGGTCCCCATGAACAACCAGGCTCTCCATCCACACCAGCTCCTCGCCACTCGCTGAACTTTCTTGACTCCTGTTCTTTACTCAGGCTGTCCCCCCTGCCTGGATTGCCCTTCCTCCGCACAGTCTCCTCGGAAGATCTGTCAGTCCCTCTTCCCAGCATCTCCCTCTGAGCCCAGCACAGGGTCCAGCCATACTGAAGATCAGTAAAGCAGGTCTGGACTGAGGGCTGCCTCCTCTGCTTCAGGGGAGGAGGCTCTGTTGTTACTTCCAGGTGAGAAGGGAATCGAATGGACAGACAGACATGAGGCTGGTTATACTCAGTTTTAAGTGGGTGAGAGAGAGAGATGATCAGTGTGTTAACTGCAGAGACCACTAGGGTGCTGAGAAATTTAAAAACCAGAAGGGCCTGAGGCTGTGTTATTAGGAGCATAGTGTCTAGAGAAAAGGAGGTGACAGTCCTGCTCTGTAGAGGAGAGCTCTGAACACAAAATCTGACAGGGACATTGAGAAGGCGGAGCTTATTCTCAGGAGTCCACCTGGAGGTTGGTGGGGCTGGAGATGACGTTGTGAGAGAGGCTAAGGGCATGGTGGTCTCTACCTGGAGGCTCTACTGGGCTCTCCTAGGACCCACAGGAGCTGGGGTACTGGAGCAGGGAACAGGAGAAGCCATGAGCACAGTCTTCCTGTCCCTGAGAAGGATTGGTGGTCTGGGAAGGAAGAGAGGGAACTCCCTGTCTGAGGGGATGCGAGTAGGGGCCACATGATGCCACACGGAGGTCTGAAGCCCCCTGAAGCTCCATGCCTCCTCAATCTCACATCTGAGCTGTGTTCCAGCCATGAACGCCCACCCCAAGGAGATGGTGCCCTTCATGGGCAGACGAGCCACCATCCCGGGTGCGAATCCTGCCGTCCTGCAGGAGAAGAGGCCGGTGGAGCTCACCCCCACCAAGAAGAGGTAGGACTGGCGGGTCTGGGCCTGGGTGCTGCGCTGTGAGGGCACAGGAGGGGCCTGGTGCCCACCCACAGAGGGCCCTTTCCTGGGGTGGACCTGAGACTCCCAGTCTCATCTGGGGTGCCCTGGTGCCCGACTACGTGTAACTGGGGGCGGGGCAGAGCAACACTGCAAACTCGGGGGGCTGAGCTGGGGAGGTCAGTACAACTGGAATAATCAGGGAGGCCTCCCTGGAGGGGTCAGGGGGCACTGAGGCAGAAACATTCAGGAGGCTCCTGGGGGAGGCGAGGGATTGCTGGAGCCGTGCTTGAGACGAGGAGCAAAAGGCAGTGGAAATTCCAGGTGGCCTGGAGCCCCTACTGAGTACGTTTTTCACGCGCACCAAAGCACTCACATCTGCGTGTACCCAGTCAGGTGGTTCAGGCTCTCTAACCCCCCTGGGGAACGGGGACACCAGCAATGGCACCAGCTCACGGGATGAGGGTTAACTGGGATCGTGCCAACAAAGTGCTCAGCACGGGGCCTGGAGCGGTCAGTGCCCAGCACATGTCGGCGCTGGTAGTGGTTTTGTTACCTTGGTCTTCGTTTTCATCACTGTCATTGTCATCGTCACTCCACAGGGCCCCTGGGAACTGGGCAGGGCTGGGATAGTTATGACCACTTCCCAGTTGGGGACACGGAGGAAGGGGGAGTGGGGAAAGTACTTCTCCAGGATCACACTTGGCCCCTGAGCTGCCCCCGCTGCAGTCCCTCCACCCCCTCCACCAATTTGGGGCCCCTCCTCCACCCCAGCTGCGCTCCCGTTGGGCCCGGGTGGGCCCCAGGTCTAGGCTGGCCCCTTTGCCCTGCCTCCTCTACCCCCATCCCAGCCACTCTCTTGGGCCAGAGGTGAGCTTGGTGCTTTCCTTCTGTCAGTTTGAGTAATAATTGCTGAGATCTTCTGTGCGCCAGGCCTGGGAGACCGGGATACAGAGAGAAAGAAAGTCTGTCCCTGCTCAGTCTGGTTGGTGAGAAGGGCACCAAGGAGAATGTGAGAAGTGACCTAGAGAGAGGGTGGAACTACGTGGGGCAGGGCCTAGGAGGGGCAGGTCATTCTGATCCTGTGGGCAGTCTCAGGGCACTTCCTGGAGGAGGTGGTATTAGAGTGGATTATGGCAGGTGGAGAGGAAGTGAAAGGGCATCCCAGGCAAAAATTTGGGGCAGGGACCAGTGAGGAGTCCCGTGGGGTTGAAGTGCTGGGTGGGTGGGGGAGTCTTTGTGGAGATGAGTCCCATTGGGGCTGGGTCTTGGAGGTCAGTTAAGGAGATTGGACAAACCTGAGGGCAGTGGGGAGCCATAGAGGGATTTTGTTGTGAAAGAGAGGGCATGGTGAGGTTTGCATTTTGGAAAGGATACTCTGGGTGATCTGTGTGGATGATGGATTGGAGGGGAGGCTGTTGGGAAGCCCAGGTGACAGGGTGTGAAGTCTGAGCCTGGGTGGTCAGGGGTGGAGAAGAGGGGATGGATCAGAGGGATATAGGATCATGTGGTCCACAGGATCAACTACGAAAGAGGAGGAGGAAGAGGACTAAGAGACATCCCCTTCTTCTGGTGGGGGGACCTGGAGGGATGATGGGGCCGTCTCTGACATGGACACTTCGTAAGGGAACAAGCAAGGTCAGGAGGAATGAGCCAAGTTCGGGTGTGAAATGTTGGCTGAGAGATGTCCGAGGGACACCCAGGTGGAAACTCCATCCTGGTGCAGGAGAGCAACTGGATGGATGTGGAGATCAGACGGGTGTTGGTGGAATCGTAGGGGCAGTCTGCGTCCGGGGGGCTTGTCCGGGTGACAGCAGAGATATCCTTGAGCAGAGCCACCAAACACCACCCTCTTGCCTCTTTTCCGATTTCCATTTCTCTCTCCTTTCCCAGGGGAGGTTTGGACTTCAGGAAGGAATGAGGACAGGGTTTCAGGAAAATCCCAGGTTCTTCTCAAAGTTAAACTGCCTTTTCTGAGTACATCCCTTTTCATAGACTTAGCTCCAGGCTCAGCTCTGCATACAGCCTTGGCTCAGCCAAGAGCCGGGGAGCGAGGTGTGACCTTTGTCTCATGAAGCGGTGGCTCCTTCCCTTTCCCAAGGGCTCTTTGAGGGCCCTCACATGCTTACTTCTCCTCAGACCACAAAGGTTTGGGCATCTCCCTCAGAACTGAGTGTGGGACTCAGGCCTTGAAAGAAAAAGAAGAGAAAAAATTATATGTAACTAAAGACGGCAATTCTGACCACTAAGGAAATAGGTAGTAATGGTGGAATTGAAGGCACTAAGAAGTCTAGACTGGGGAGAGATTTTTGGACCTGGAACTTTTCCAGAACCATCATGCCACTTCCCGAGAATAGCTGACACCGTGACCTCCTTACTGGGCCCTGGACAAGGCGATGTGCAGGGACAGAGGCGCAGGCCGATGAAGGCTCTGGAGGAGCTGGCTGTGTGGAGCTCAGAACCTGGGCATTTCTTGGGTCAAAGCAGGTGAGACAGGCTCCTCTCCAGCCCTGGGGCTGCTTGGGGATAGTTCTTTGCCTTCAGAGGGACAGAAATGCAGGAGAAATGGTGCCTAGTTGTCTACGCACCTGACTTAACAACATCCAGGTGCCCTTTGGTCTGGGTCAGAGGTAGGAATAAACAAACAGCATCTGCTGCAGGTCAGGACCCAGGATGTCACGTGGCCAAGACCTTGCCATCTGCTCATGATGGCGGGTGAGATGTGGCATGTGCGGTGGCAAGTGGTGCAGGCGTGGGACAGGCCCTCAGGGTCTAGCAGCTCCATGCCCCAGGAGTTAGGTCTTTGCCCACAGCTGGGTCCTTTCCGGACTGGCTCTCACCACTCTCCTTTCCAGCCACTGAAGGCTTCCTTCCTCAGACACAGCCCTTATTTTCCTACCAGGGAAAGTTTTCTCACGCTACTCCCTCTGCTCCCAGGGCTTTTCCCAAACCACAGGTCCATTTCAAGACCCAGACCAAATCCCACCCTGACAGAGCATGGAGCCTTCCTGGATCCCTGTCCTTGACTGGAAGAACCTTCTCTTCCCCTGAGCTCCCATAGCCCAGTTCCTCTCTGAAGAGGTTCTTGGGACGATGTCTTAGCTCTGGTTGAGATCTCTGAGGACAGGGTCTCTGGAAAGGTCATCTCTTCTCTCCCTGCCCCCTGAGTTTCCTATGCAGAGCATATTAGTAGTTTTTGAACAAGTGGGTGAGTCAGTGAAGGAGCAGGCAAGACAACCAGAGAAGGAGGGGGTGAGTTGATGACTAAGCAGCTGGTGGCTCAGCACAGTCACTTAGCATGAGTGAGGATGCTCCACCGTGAGATGAGGAAATACTTCTGCCCTCAGGGCCTTGGTCTCCAGGCCTGGAGTAGATAGATGCTCTCATGATCTGGTTTTCTGGACCATCCTTGAGGCCCCTGTGGGCTCTGGGAGGAGGCCTGAAAAGGAGGGGAGGAGGAGTGGCAAAGGACCCCTCTTCAACTTCTTACTCAAGACTGAGAAGGAGAGGTGAGGGCTTTGGGCAACTGAGAGCCCAGTGGGAGTCTCTTGAGGGGTGCAACCTCCCAACAACATTTACAGTTTAAGGTTGTGTTGGTCTGTTTGCTTATTGGTCCAGCTCAATGGTCTCCATCTATCCACCTATCTACCCACCCAATTACTCATTCCTTAGCTAGTCATCCATTCTTCCTTCTTTCCTTCCTTCTTTCCATCCATCCTTCTACGCATCCATCCATGAATGCATCCATCCACCCAACCATCCATCCATGCATTCATCCATCCTTCTATGCATGCATGCATTCATGTATCCATCCATCCATCATCTATCCATCTATTCATCCATCCTCTCACCTGTCCATCTATTCATCCATCCACTCATCTGTCCATCTATCCAACCAGCCAGTCTTTTTTCCACTCATTTACCTTTCACTCATCACCTTTTCATCCTTCCACTCATCTGTTCAGTTAGGTCTTCTGAGTGTCATGACCAGTGTTGGGTTCTGGAGAATCAAGGACAATTCAATCGTAGTTCCTGCCATTGAGGAACTTACAACGAAAGGACAGTGTGTTGTCTAGAGCAAGAAAAGCAATGTCCTCACTGTGCTATAGCCTGGTCTGACCTTGGGGCCTGTTCTGACCAACCCACTGGAACAGTAGTTCTGAGAGGTGAAGGATTTTTGTCCACTTGTTCACCACCGTATCCCCATCTTCTAGAACAGTGTTTGGCACATTGTAGGTACTCAATAAATTATTTGTTGAGTAAATGCACTACTGAGGAGCCTAGATAGGTAGGGTGGGGTGGAGGACCGGGTGGGTGGGTGGGGCGGGGCGGGGCCAACTGGCCTGGGGAAACAGCTGAGGGTGTGGTAGTTGGGCTCTGCCTCCAGAAAGTTCCGCAAATCTCAACCAGGATGTGTTGGGGCTGAGTTGCTTTGGGGTGGCAGTTCTGGGGCACTGCAGGGGTGCAGGGAAATGGTGATCAGACTGGAAGACCTCTAATACCTACTTCAGCTAGACAGTCCGTAAGGGGACCATCCCGGAGCTGCCCTGGCTCCAGAGTCTAGGCCTTAGGGAATCATCTGGCCCAACCATTCTCCATCGAGGTTAGGACACTTGGCCCAGAGACGGCAAGTGACCACCTGGGGTCACACAGGAGGCAGAGGCAGAGGCAGAGCCAGACTAGAACCCAGGCCTCAGGCTCCTAGCTAGGGGTTTGCTCCTCCCTTTGTCTTCTCTTTTGGAAGAAGGATTTGATTTTAGGTCAGGTCAGAAGGTTCCTCTTGATGGGCAGGAGACAGGAAGGTGAGGGCCAATGTGTCAGCCAGCGCTGCCCCCCACATATTTATACCCCATTTCTGGGTTAGTTCTGAGCCTTCTGGGCTTGTCTGTGCCTGGAGGTAAGGCCCGGGTCTCCCTCCTGCCTGCCCTACCCTGGGAAGTGGCTGTGTTGAGAGGCCTCCCTCTGTGCCGGATTCCTGGAGCTGGTTTGGCTGGAAGCAGATCCAGAAGCCGAAGGGAGAGCAGAGGGGTGTGGATAGTGGTGTGGGCTGTAAGCCTGGACATCTGGAGTCAGATTCTCTGACCACCTTGGCTTCCACCCTGGGGGTGACCACAGATGAGCTGCTTCTGCATGCTGGGCCTCTGTTCCCTCATCTGTAGAATGGGGACTCAACCCCTTCCCTGCTGCCCTCCCCTCCAAACTTGATATGGCTGGACTGTACTTTGGGAGCTGTTATGGGGAGGGGGGGGGGCTGTTGATCCTAGGCCTGGGAAGGAGGAAGGCAGCAAGGGCACTTAGGAGAGAGACCTGCTGATCAGGAGGCCACTGTCCTGGGCCAGGTCAGAGAGTCAGGTCACAGAGCTGGCAGTGGTGCTGCAGCAGCTTTGAGGTGGGGGGGTTGCTGTAACTGAGATCACCCTCGGCCTGATCCTCACCATCTTGGTTGTCACGAGAAGGACTGTCTCCGAGTGTATGATTGTGGGTTCTGACAGCATGCGTGTCTGCATCTGTGGGTGTGTCTGTGTCTGGCTGGGGCATCGCATTTTGGGTGTGTATCTTGCCTCTCCCAGGGCAGTGAGTCTCTCTCCTCCTGGGGCTTAGCCAGGTCACAGGCCCTGGGCCCCCGTCTCTCTCCTCCCAGCGCCAGGGAAAAGCGGACCCTTCACTCGCCACTCCACTGCTCCTCGCCTCCATTGTTCAGAGTGGTTTCCTGGGTTCTCCTGCTTGACGAGGGATTCTCAGCCCTGTTCCTGATCCCTCAGGTCCTCCCTAATCTAGATCAGCCGTTCTCAGCCTATTGTCTGTGCTGACAAAGTGGGGGGGTGGGGACTGCACCCGGGCAGCCAGCGTAACTCCAGGCCTTTCCCTCTCCTTCAAGAGCCAGGAGTGGCCCTTGCAGAGCTCAGAGTCCAGGGAGCTCCCTGGCAGGGCTCTTGCTTCAGACCTGAGGCCTGAGGGGCAGTTGGGGGATGATGGGGGAATCTAGCTCCCACTGCCAAGTCCCCCATCTCTGGAGAGTCCTTTGCACCTAGAGGCAGCTGCAGACAGGAAAATCCCCCTCAGATGCTAGGCCACCCCAGTAGAGACCCCTGTTCATCTACTCAGTATTTTCTAGTGACAGGAGTCACCCAGACCCAGCTGTGAATCCAGGTCTGCCACCTATCTGCTGTGTGGCCTCGGGTAAGTTGCTTGACCTGGGAGCCTCCACATGCCCACCTGTGAAATGTGGGTGATGACGATGGTAGCCCCAAAGGCTGCTGTGAGGGTTAGTGAGGCCACTTGGGCACTGGGGCCAGTGTGGAGCTGGCCGAGAGCAAGTGCTGCACGTGGGTGGGCACCCTCAGCAGCAGGCTTGAGGGACACGCAGGTGGAAAGGCCCTGTCCCAGCTCTAACGGTCTTGCTTGGGTGTCCCTCCAGTGCACACTTCTTCCTGGAGATAGAAGGGTTCGAGCCCAACCCCATTGTCACCAAGACCTCTCCCCCATTCTTCTCTAAGCCCATGGACTCCAACATCCGACAGTGGTGAGTACCAGCCCCCTGCCCTACCCAGCCCTCAACTCCAGCTAGCAGGCAGTGACTTACCCTGGGCCACACGGCCAGGCCTGGCTGGGGCATGCTACCATGATCCATATTTAAACTTGTCCCTCTCTCTTCTCTCCCCCACCCTCCAGCGTCTCTGGCAACTGTGATGACATGGACTCCCCGCAATCTCCTCAGGACTATGTGACAGAGACCCCATCCAATCCCAACAGTCCCAGGTGAGCCTGGTTCTTCCCCTCCTCCGAGTGGCCACCAGGCTGGTGCCAGGCGACAGGCACTAGGACCCTGCAGGAAAGAGAAAGAAGCTGCTATTCCTAGGGGGCTGGGACAAATGTCTGGGCCCATGATTGTGATGTATAGGAAATTTTGGGGGGGAGGGGAATATTACATTTTATAAACTATAAAAGTAATACCCATTCATTATAAAACATTCAAACAACAATATGCAGCAGAAGGAGAACTTAAGACAATACCATATACACAAATTAAAAGCACATGCATACAAATGATCAAACATCAACGTGCATTTTGCAAGAACACACACAAACAGAAGGATATCCATCAACACATTACCATGGCTCCCTATTTGGAGTGTGGGGGTAGGGAGGGTTAGATGAAAAGAATTCAAACAAAACAAAATATAAAAATAAAATTTCCCTTCCCCTAATCCCAGTCTTCTGAGGCAGTCACTATTAACGGGTGGGTGTATAGCCTTCCTGATCATTAGTATGCGTATCCAAATATATATTTTGATAAAATGTGATTGCATTTGGATTCAAAGGGAAGCCTGCATGGGGCAACATGGATCCCAGGGGCCTGGAGCACTCATGGAGGGGATTTCAGGCATTGTGACAGGCGCGGGAGATGTTGGGGGCTGGTGCAGCGCCCTATAGGCACAGGGGCCCTGGTGGGGGAAGGGGAGGGGTCAGGGTGGTGTTGCATGTATGGTGAGTCAGAAACCTCTTCTGGTTTCAGTGCAAACCTGGCCAAGGAAGAGCAGAGGCGAAAAAAGAGGCGGCTGAAGAAGTGCATCTTCACAGCCGTGTCGGAGGGCTGCGTGGACGAGCTGCTGGAGCTGCTGGCCGAGCTGCAGGAGCTTTGCAAGCGGCGCCGTGGCATGGACATGCCTGGTCAGTGCTTGGTCCTGGCAGAGGGTGTGGGGCTGGGGGCCCTACTTGGTTCCTGCTGTCTACCTCTCCTGACCAGAGCCTTGAATGCTGGGCTAGGCACTTTGAACCTGACTCTGAGGGCAATGGGGAGCCATGGAGGGCTTAGACAGGTGAGAGTCATGGCAGAGTTGGGACCCCAGCAGCAGGGCTCGGGAGGCGGACAGCTCTTTAGGGAGTGGCATCGGTAGGACTCAAGGATGTGGGGAGTGAGTCCAGGGTGGTGCCTTTTGGACTTGGGTGACTTGGGTGATGGAGACTGAGTTGTCTTAGGGACCAGGAGTAGCAGGTTAGGGGGAGGCAATGAGCTCTATTTGCACCTGGAGGGGGTGGGCTAGAGATTCAGGTATCAGCACTGAGGGGAATAGTGGGAAGCCATGTAGTGTGTGAGACTGCCCCCCACAAGGGAAAGGGTGCAGAAGGCAAAGAGCAAAAGGCCTCTACTAAGGCTAGCGTGGGCAGAGAAACAGAAGCCAGCAAAGGAGCCAGAGGAGGAGGAGCTGGAGAGGGAGAAGGAGAGCAGGGGAGCTCGGGGGTCAGGGATGCCACCAGAGGGCATGGAGCAGGGTGTTGGGGTCTGAGGTTGCAGCGCCCACACCCCGGCCTCCCCTTCTCTGGGCTGGGAGGGTCAAGGGCAGCCGGGGTCCCACCTGTGGCTCCATCCCATGACCCTGCCTGCAGACTTCCTCATGCACAACCTGACGGCCTCGGACACGGGGAAGACCTGCCTGATGAAGGCCCTGTTAAACATCAACCCCAACACCAAGGAGATCGTGCAGGTCCTGCTGGCCTTCGCCGAGGAGAATGACATCCTGGACAGGTTCATCAACGCCGCGTACACAGAGCAGGCCTACGAAGGTATCCTGCCCAGGGGTGGGGCTGTGCAGACAGGGATCCCGAGGGTGGGCGGGGGCCGTGCCACGAGGAGGCACTGCTGTCCCTGAAAGCCCAAAGCACTCAGCGTGGTGCCCAGCAGATAGGCAGATCGCAGGCACTCCTCTTTTCTTTCGTTCTGCAAATAATTTTGAGCACTGACCACATGCCAGGCATTGTTTCTGGCACCAGGTGCGGTGGTGGACCAGATGGCCTGTGAGCACTCCCTCTCTCTGTATGGTGGAAGGACCCACTGAGTCCTGCCTTTCCAGAAACCAAGCCCCCGTTCTTCCCCTTGATGGTATCTGCTGATGCCCTCCCTTCAGAGTTTTCAGGAACTCCCTGACACCTGGGGCTGAGGGGCTCCAGGACCACCAGAGGAGCATCTTTCCTCACTTTGGGCAGATTACCCTGCCTTTCTGAGCCTCAGTTTCTTCATCTGGTAGAGGCTAATATTTCCTCCCTATGCTGCAAAAAGAATCCAATGACAACTTTATTAATATAAGTATTTTATCAGAGGCCTTCAGAGATTATTTTTTTCTTTTAACAATTAAAAATTTTTTATTATAAAAAAATTTTAAGCAAATACATTTGAGATAGTAGCATGACGAACCTCTATATATCCATCAGCTAGACTCAATATTACAATTTATTTTTAATTACATAAATAACACATGATTAGAGTTTCATTGTAAAACATTCAAATATTTTAATTAAGTTAAAAAAAAAAAAACCTTCACCTGTTTCCCACTCTCCTCTCCAGAGATGATTATTATGGTGTGTGTCCTGTAAGGACTTTCCTAGACTTTTGACATATGTGTATATGTGCACATAGAAGCAGATAGTTTTATTTCGTATTCATTTATCTACTTATTTAACATAAAATAGCATTGTACTGTTTGTACTGTTCTACAACTTGCTTTGTTTTGGATTATCGGTGTATCTTGGACACCTTCTCAGGTCAGAATATGAAAGTCTGCCTCCTTTCCACCTGCTTAGTCTGAGTCCGGCTGGAGGGCAGCTAATCTCACTGTTCCCCTCTTGGCAGACATCCGGGGGGTTTCCAATTTTTTGCTGTGACAATGTTGCTGTGCACGTTCTTGTCTGTGACCCTGTGCACAGTGCACACATTTTAGGAAAACACTTTGAATTGGATTTTCTGAGTTCAAGGACGTGCACATTTAAAATTATAACAGTTACTGCCAAATTTGCCTCCAAAAGGTACTAATTTACTCTCCCCCGACAAAAGGGTCCAAAAGTATTCATTCCCCCACCCTTCACTAATCCTGGAAACTATCTTTTTTTTTTTGTTTTTTGCCCATCTGGTGGGTGAAAAGTGTTAAATAATTAGGTTCTAATTTTCATTTTCCCGATTACCAAGGATTCCACACATCTTTCACTTTCTTCATGGCTACGTGTATTTTCTTCTCTGTGAGGTACTTGTTAAAAATCATTTCTCAATTTTCTTTTAGGTTGTTTGTTTTTCTACTGATTTGTAGGGGCTCTTCATATATCATGGACTTTTAAAAATGCATTGTTTCTTTGAGACATCGCAAATATTCCCCCCAGCCTATCACTTACTTGTCCTTTAACTTTCTTTAAGACATCTTTTGAAATACAGAAATCTTTAATTTTTACGCAAGCAAACATATCAATTTTTTCTTTATGGTTTCTGCATTTTGGATCTTGCGTGAGAAGGTTTTCCCTACCAAAAGGTTGGTTATAAATGAATTTTCCAATTTTTTAAAATGCTTAGTTCTTTAATTGACCAGGACTTTATTTTTATGTATGGCATGGTGACAAGTCTTTGGAAAATGCTGTTTCTGGTGGGATATTCTGAGACTCTCCCAGCCTTCTGGTTCTTTCCATCTGGAGGTTCTACTGGCTCCACCAACAGGGTTAATATCCCTCCTCCCCCTCCCTCTGCTTCTGCCCTGTTCCACTCCTCAGTCACTGGGGCACCATCCACCCAGCAACCTGGCCAGACACCTGGATGTCACCTGAGACACCCCCTTCTCCCCCAAGCCTCACAGACCATCCTGGGGACTCTTTCTCCTAAGGTCTTTGGGCCTCATCATCTGTTTCTCCACTGGAGCGACAGTTTCTCACAAGTCTGGGCTCATTCTACTGCATCCTCCAATTTTGTAGCCAGAGTTATGTGAAAACACACAGGCACAAAACCGAAACTCTGGGTATGTCACCTCCCTGTTCAACGCCTTCTGTAATAAAGTTCTAACCTCTCAACTGGCTTATGAGGCCTCGAGGCGGGCCCATCCAGCCTTGTTAAACTTACCTGGTGGCAGCTTAGAGGCCACTTCTGGGAATTCCCCCTGGTCCCCTCAGCCTGTGTTCAGAGCCCCTGCTCTGGGTACCACAGCTCTTGCACCTCCCTGTATTGTAGCCCTTAATTCTCAGTGAGACTGTGCGCTTCTTGAGGGAAAGAATCAAAACTGCATCCAGGGGCACTGCATCCCCAGCACCCGGCGCCAGAGCACAGAGCAGGCGCTGCATAACCTTCCTTGCGTCCATGCAAGCATGAATGAAGCAAAGAAGGAAGTTGAGACTCTTGGTAGCTGGGCGACACAGACAAGACAGGCAGCTATTATTTCGCCATGGTTCCGTGGAGGATATGGAGGCCAGAGACGGGAAAGGGCCGGTGAGGTCACGTCACCCGGGGTCCCAGCTGAGCGCCCCGCCCCCCACCCTGTCCTCAGGGCAGACGGCGCTGAACATCGCCATCGAGCGGCGGCAGGGAGACATCACTGCGGTGCTGATTGCGGCCGGCGCCGACGTCAACGCCCACGCCAAGGGGGTCTTCTTCAACCCCAAGTACCAGCACGAAGGCTTCTACTTCGGTGGGTGCCGCCCCGCCCGGCAGGGGCTGGGGGCGGGGTCCGGGAGGAGGGAGGGGCCGCCCCGCCCTGCGCCGCCCAGAGGGCCTGTCCCCAGAGGCACCGGCGGGTGGACAGGGGCCTGGAGCCCTCCTGCGAATCTGTGTCCGCTCAGACGTGTCCGAGGCCGGCCGGGGAGGACAGAGCCGGAACGAGGGAGGCGGGTGGGGCGGATCCTTAGCAACAGGACCCCCAGGGCGGACCAGAGAGGGAGGGCCTGGGGAGGGGGGAGGATGGGGCAGCCTGCATTCTGGGAGTGTCACCTGGTAGTCTGAGAGGGCACACAGGCGTCCACCTGAGCAGGAACAGAGACCTGGCAGGGAGAGCAAGGAGAGACCGCTAGTTTACAGGCGAGGAGACAGGTTCTGAGGAGGGGAAGGACTTGCTTAGTGTAGTAAGGAGCTGAGGTAGGTATCCTGGCCTCTGTCCCTTGTGTCCGGTGCCTCTCAGGGTTGCAAACGGGGCAAAAGTGAGATGACAAAAATTCTTGTCATATTAAGGAGTCAAAAAGCAATTAGGGTTAGGGCACTCTGGGTGAAAAAATTTTTTTAAAATGTGTAATTTAGGTACAGTGAATTCACCCATTTCAATGTACAGTTCTGTTCATTTCCACAAATGCACACAGTCGTGTAACCACCACCGTGATCAGGGAACAGACAATTCCATCACACCAAAAGCTTTCCAGGTACAATTTTGTAGTCAAGCCCTCTTCCCACCCCGGCCCCTGGCTGACCACCACTGATCTGTTTTCTCTTCTGGGTGGTTTTTTAATCAGCAGGACTAGATGGGTCTGGGCCAACTTGAGGCCAGGGTCTTGTCCAGTCCATTGCCCAACACTGGACCTGGTTGGAGCTCGTGTTGGGAGAGGGGGCAGGAGGGAGATTGGGAGGGATGCAGCAGGAGACCTGCTGTCCAGTCTTGGCTCCGTCCTAGGCTTGCTGTGTGACCGTGTGTGAGTCATCTGCCTTCTCTTTTCTTAACAAACATTTATTGAGCACTTACTATATACATCAGGCACTGTTCTAGGTGTTCGAAATATATTGTCGAACAAAACGAAGATCCCTACCCTCGTGGAACTTACATTCTAGATGGGAGAGACCATTAATGATAAATGTAATAAATAGGAATGCTGTGTAATATGTTAGAAAATGATAAGTCCTAATGAAAAAATAAAGAGTAAAACAGAGGAAGGAGAATCAGGAGTTCTGGGGCACCGAGGAGGTGGATTTCAATTTTAAATAGAGCAGTTAGGGTGGGTCATTGAAAAGGTGATGTTTGAGCAAAGACTTGAAGGTGAGGGAGTGAACGATGCAGATATCAAAGGGACAGCACTATAGGCAGAGGGAACAGCCTGTGCGAAGGCCCTGAGATAGGAAAATGCCTGGTATGTTCAAGGAAAAGGAGGAAGGCCAATGTGGCTGGAGGGGAATGATTGAGGGAGAGAAAAGATCATGTCAGAAGATGTAGGGCCTTGTGGGCTGTTGTTGGAACTTGAGCTTTTATCCTGGATGAGGTGAGCCTCACGTATTAACAGGATGAGTCTGGCTGCTGTGCTGAGGATACTGTTGGAGGGCCAGAATGGTAGCAGGGAGACCATTTAGGAGGTTACTGCAATGACTGAGCCTCAGTCTCCCCTCCTGTACAAGGAGGAGATGGGGAGAGGGACAGGAAACCTCAGGGGTCAATCCTACTGAGATGGTCAGGATACGGGCTTCAGTCCTGGGGCTTGGGGAACACCACTTCCGGTCCATAAGAGAACCAGCCCAGTGCTCCCCCTGCTCAGGTGAGACACCCCTGGCCCTGGCAGCCTGCACCAACCAGCCCGAGATTGTGCAGCTGCTGATGGAGAACGAGCAGACGGACATCACCTCGCAGGACTCACAGGGAAACAACATCCTACATGCGCTGGTGACGGTGGCCGAGGACTTCAAGACGCAGAATGACTTCGTTAAGCGCATGTACGACATGATCCTGCTGAGGAGTGGCAACTGGGAGCTGGAGACCACGCGCAACAAGGACGGCCTCACCCCGATGCAGCTGGCCGCCAAGTTGGGCAAGGCTGAGGTGGGGCCCCACGGGCAGGAGGGAGGGTGGGGAGGCACACTGCCGCTGTGCCAGCCCTGGGGGCCCCACAGATCACACCTAGGCCTTAGGTCTGGAAGTGCAGTTGTGGCCTGAGGTGGGTTTGTTCCTAATGACCACGCAGAGCCAGTGAGATGCAGGGCCTTGATGAAGACTCAGGCGGGTGTGGTCTCACATCTCTGTCGGTGGCTAGAGCCATGCCTTGGTCTGAGACCAAGGTCAGGACTCAGGTTGGGGCTAGGGTCACGGCTCAGTGAAGCCTGCTGCTCAGCGTCCATATCTTTGAGCCTTGGGTGGGGCCTGCGGCTCCTGGGAGGCTACAGGAGGATGCTGGGTGGGTGGGGGGCAGTTGAGCAATCATGGCTGTGCCAGCCTCAGGGCAGCTGACCCGGAGGCATGTGCCCCGAGGGCCTTGGGTCCTGTCCCAGTGCTCAGGGCTGGGGCCCACAAGGGACCCTTTCATTCTCTCGTGGGAGGAGGAGGAGATGGGGAATGACTTTGACAGAGGAGGAATTGTGTGCGTGCCTTCCTGGTCTCCTGCCCACCCCTAGGGACACAGCTTGCTGGGGCCTTTGAGGAGGGTCAGATGGTGGTTGTAGGTGGAGCGTCCTCCAAGGGCCTCTTCCCTGCATGCCACTATGGCACATGCTCTCCCTAGGGAGAGCCCAGGGATGGAGCTTCCTGCATGGAGCATGGCACCATGACCCACTGGTTCTCTAGAGAATAATATGTCCCCTGTGGCCAGTCTTGGGGAAATGCCCACACTCTTCCTGGCCCCTTCTCTCCTTCAGTCAGTGTTCTTTGGAAAACCTTTCTGAACACTGCCCAAGTTGGCCACTATGCTGGGAGAGGAGGGTGCAGTGATGCTTAAGACACAGACCCTGTTCTTGGGGATCTTCTAGGCTGGGGCTGAGGATGGGGAGACCCGCCATATCCTTGGGAGCTCTCTGCCTGGGCTGTGGAGACAAGGCTGTCATGTGAGATGAGATGGAGCCACACCGGGTCGCGGGAGATCAGGGCTCTGACACCGTCCTCCTGAGCCTTGGGTTGGTGCCCCAGGAAGCCATGGCCCCCGTCCTAGGGTACCCCAGCGCTCAGCTTTCAGGAAGTGGTGAGCTGGAAAGCAGTGGCTCTCTATCTTGCCTGCACTTTCCAACTGCCCAGGAAGCTTCGCTAAATGCAGATGCCTGGGTCCCACCTCTGAGATTTGGATTGGAGTAGTTGGTGGTGTGGGATGTTTAAATGTTCCCCTGTGACCCCAGCATGCAGCAGAGTTTGAGGGTCACTGACCTAGAGGGTGGGTCATGGGCCTCTCTCCATCACCCCCTCTCTGGCCAGAGGGTGAGCCTCAACTGGCAGGGTCTTGACTGAGGGTGGGATAGGGAAGCAGAAAAACTTCTAGCTTCTTCTCAAATCCAGGCCAAACAGAAATTATTTCTCAAAATTGTCAGTTCCCGGATTCTTCACTGAATGGAGTCCCTGCTGGTGTAAGGATTTATAAGCTGATCCTGCAGCTTTCCGCAGCGTGCAAAGGGCCTTCACACTTTTTGTCTCTGGTATTCACAATCCCCGGTGAGATGGACAGAACAGCGAGCTTCGTGCCCATGCCACAGATAAAGCCGGGCCCGGCGGTCACAGGGTCAGGCTCAGAGGCAGGACTCCATCCGTCCTTGGTGGGAGCATCTTTCCGGCCCTGTTGGCCCCAAGCTCTGTTCTGTGGCTGATGGTTGTTCCTCTTCCTGTCCCAGATCCTGAAGTACATCCTCAGTCGTGAGATCAGGGAGAAGCCGCTCCGGAGCTTGTCCAGGAAGTTCACCGACTGGGCATACGGGCCCGTGTCATCCTCGCTGTATGATCTCACCAACGTGGACACCACGACAGAAAACTCAGTGCTGGAAATCACTGTCTACAACACCAACATCGATGTGAGTCTCCCGGGCTGGCTGGGGAAAGGCAGGGGGTGGGGGGCTGGGACTCAGGCCAGGGGCTCAGGAGGCACTGGGAAGACACCATGCCGCTAGCTGGACATGTCTGCAGTCCCCCATTCCTTTGCCTTCGTGGGCCATCAGCACAGAAAGGGCGGGGCCTAGGGCAGGTGCTGGGTTCACCTGTTCCCGGCTGACCTCGGGTTGTAAACCCTCGTGGCCCCAGAATCCTGGGCGGGGTGGGGGTGGGAGTGGGGGTGGGGATGCTTGGTGTTGATCCTCTCCATCTTGTTTCTCCCCCACTGCCCCTATTCTCCCTGGTTCTATATGACCCAGGCTTAGAATTCCCTCTTCCCCCAAACCTGGCTCCAAATAAGCATCAGGAAGTACATACCTGGAGCAATCAGGGAGGCCTTCCCAGAGGAGGCAAGATGGGGAGGTCAGTGAAGCTGGAGGGGAAGAGAGCATCAGCAGGGAGAGGTTTTGGCTCTTAGGCGGAAGTGAGGCAGCAGGCTGGATCTTCATCCTTCACGTTTTACCGAGAGTCATACTTCCCAGAGCCTGCCTCATCCGGGGTCTCCCTGGACCCTCACAGCAGCCTGGTTGGTAGGGCAGTTTGAGTGTTATCAGTTATATAGATGAGGAGACTGAGGCCCAGAGAGGGTCAGGTGTTTTCCTGAGGTCACACAGTGAAGGAGGGCCAAGTTGGGGCCAGGACCCCAGTCACAGCCCTCCCCACTTCTAGCCCTCCTCCCCACTGAACATCAGGTCCTCCTGGTGGAAGCCCAGACTCCTGTGGCGTTTGGCTGCTGCCTGGGCACACTGGGAAGGAGCCTCAGGAGCCAGAAATTACCCAACCAACATTTCCAGCCAACCAGTCCCTTGGGCATAATGACTGGCCCTTCTGCCAAGGGCAGTGCTGACTCAGAGCTCCCTTTGAAATGAGAGCCCCTTGAAAACGGTCCCTCCCTGCCCCCATCTCCGTGGTGACTGGTGGTCTTCTCCCCCTAGAACCGGCACGAGATGCTGACCCTGGAGCCCCTGCACACACTGCTGCATATGAAGTGGAAGAAGTTTGCCAAGTACATGTTCTTCCTGTCCTTCTGCTTTTACTTCTTCTACAACATCACCCTGACTCTCGTCTCTTACTATCGCCCCCGGGAGGAGGAGGTACGTGGGCCCCGGGGTGGGGGGGCTGAGGTGGTCACAGCTGCAGGAGCTTGGAGCAGTCCCATATGTAGATGGGGAAACTGAGGCCCAGAGAGAGGCCAAGAGGTTTGTGTGGGGTTCCCAATTGTCACCCTTCACAGTTTCTGGGGAACTGAATACGTCTCCAGTGCTTACCTGAGCTGCGGCCCAGGTGCGCAGCCCCAGGCTGACCTGTGCTGGGGGGAGAGCTGGGAGGATTAGGAGACCCAGGCCCTGCCAGGCTCTGCCTACAACTAGAGCCGATTGGCTGTTTCTGCTGTGAGGGCCACCAGCAATGGGAGGAGGGGGAGGTCACTTGGACAAGCTTTCCCACCACTCTGGGCCTCCGTTTCCCATCCATTATGTGGGGCATAGAGTTTCAGCTTTATTTAACAGGCCGTGAGGCCCTGTGAGTGTCTGGATGTGGATGGGTTCTGGAACGGACAAATGCCATGAGGTGTGAGGGGTTGTTAGTGTGGATTGGGTCGTGTTCCTCACTGTAGAGTTCTGGGTTCCCACCATGGGTGGGGAGGGCAGGGGCAGGGGGCTGCCGTTCCTTCCCTGTGCAAAGGAGGGCTTCCTGCTGGCCTCTGGCCCAGCTTGAGTGTTAGGCGTGTGTCTGTGCATGGTTCCTCCAGGCCTGGCACTACCCTGCCCTCCTCACCCCCATCCTGCACCCACCCACTTCTCTCCCTTCCTCCCCAGGCGCTCCCACACCCCTTGGCCCTGACGCACAAAATGGGATGGCTGCAGCTCTTAGGAAGGATGTTCGTGCTCATCTGGGCCATGTGCATTTCTGTGAAAGAGGTGAGGGGGCCACCAAGCCCTTCCCGACTGCCCAGCGAGGCAGGCAGGGTGACAGCAGGCCTGGCTTCGGTCCTACCCTGCTCTGCCATTACTGCAGGGGTGCTTTGTGGAGGCATTTTCTTTCTAAGCTGTAGATTTCTTAGTTACGAAATGGGAATAAATCAATAAACAGGCCTATCCTATTTACTTCATCTGTCTACCCCTCCATCCATCTGTCCATGTATCTGCCATTTATCTACCCTCCCAGCCACTCAGTGACCCATCTTCCTCTCCCCTCCATCCACCTATCCAATCACCTGCCCTCTCTCATCATCCCAGCCACTCATTCATCCGTTTGAATACCCACTCATCCCTACCTACTGTCCTTCCATCCTTTATCCAACCATCTTTCCATCTGTTTATCAATCGATTGATTGCTCCATTGATCAATTGATCTATCCATCCAACCAATGAATCAACCGGTATATTCTGAACACCTTCTATATGTGGGGCCCTGGGAGAGGTCACGGGGATGGAGGGAGTTTCAGGTCACAGTCTGGTAGGGGATTTCATGGACACAAACGTCTAGGCTTTAAGATGGATTGTGAAAAGGGCTCTATGTTGGGTTTAGACCAGTGCTCAGAGGAAGAGAGATGACTTTCATCTGGGGACTATGGGAAGCAGGGAAGGCTTGAAGGCAGAGATGGCATTTGCTCTGGTAGGGGAGGACTGGGCGTGAGGGCACTGGGGAGAAGGTCAGGACAGGGAAGGCATGAGAACAGCATGAACGGAGGCTCTGAGGCTGGAAAGCTCGGGCAGATTTGGGGAATGGCGGGCAGCTGTATGGTTGTGCTGCTTTGCAGGTTCTGGGGTGAGGATGAGGGTGAGAATGAGAGATGTAGGGAGATTTGGGGGAGCATCTACTTTCACCCTGGGGTTGCCTCTGTCCCCTAGGCACAGGTCCACTTCTGTATCCCTTACCTGGGCTCTGACTGGGCCTTCACACACTCCCCCCTCACTGAGTCTAAGCCCTGGGTAAACAGCCCCTTCCTCAGATCCTCCAGGGAGAGGCATGAGGAAGGTGCAGCTTTTCTTTCTTTTCTGGCCTCAGGGCATCGCGATCTTCCTGCTGAGACCCTCAGACCTGCAGTCCATCCTCTCAGATGCCTGGTTTCACTTTGTCTTGTAAGTAGATCTGTCCCTTTGGTCACCACCTCACAGGCAGGGCTGAAGTCCTGTATGGTGGCTGCTGTGTCACTCTTACCTGTACCAGTCATTCTGCCATAGTCATATGGCCAGGACCTCCTCTCTCCCTTCTAGTAAGAGAGGCACATAGATGTCCACGGAGGGGTCCAGAAAACCCTAGGACAGTGCCCACCATCTGGTTGCAGTGATGGCTGACTCTGGCCTGCCACAGAGCCCCAGGCGGCAGGCAGCACGGAGAGGGCATGAAGACGCTGAGCAGTGCTGTGTACTGTTTTATAAGAGTTCCAGGCCAGTTCCTCCTAGTTGCATGGAGTCTAGAAGTTGCCATCTTGGACCCTGGCAGATCAGGGCTGGAAGGTGCATGAGAAATCTTTGAGTCTCATCTGTAGGCATGAAAACTGAGGTCCAGAGCAGGGAGTGAGTCACTCACGGTCACGTGGAAGCCAGCCCAGCCCCCCAGTCATCACCCCAGGCCTGTGCAGAGTCGGCTACCACAGGCCCTAGCTGGAAAGCCCCGCTCAGCAGCCTCTCGGAGTGAGGTCATGTGCAGCCGACATCAGAGGCCTACGTGACCCATCTCTGGGTGAACAGAGGCTGATTCAGCGTTGCTGCTGTGTGGATGGAACAGAATCTACAGCATGGGATGAAGAATGGGGGGCTCCATAGCTCTGTAGACCCCGCCAAAGTCCCTCTTCTGGGTTTTTGGGAGACTGGGTCGGTAGGACCTTGAATCTTGGCCTGACGTTTCCAAATACCTAGGTGTTTTACTTAGCATGTACCCGCCTTCCAGAGGCATGAACCGAGTTTTTCATCCCTGTGGGCGGGTGGGGCGCCCAGATACCACTGCGAACGGATAGGCTGGGTGCAGCGCTGCCCCATGAGGCAAGCAACGTGTGAGTCTGTCACTTTTGAGAAAGTATGATGATGCCAGAGAGAAATCCGTTTATACAGCCCGTGGCGTTAGTGCAGACCAAAGGCACCAATGCCTCATCCTGCTCTTTTGCTTCGTAGCTGTTTTGTTAGCGTAGAGGAAGGTGTAGACATCCTTCCTCACTTCAATCCCAATTGCATCGATCACCCAAATGTTTGCTTTTCACTGCACGAGAAGAACAAGGTTGCCTGTGTCCTAACTTTTACTAGTCAGAGATTTGGTAATTGTGGAGACTGCCTGATGTCATAAGCGGGAGAGGGTTTTTATCCAGATGTCTGGGTGACTGACGGCATGCACATTCTTTAGGAGCTGATTTTGATCTTGTGTTTTTGGTATATATTGTACTTAAAAAATTTTAAATTGTGGTAAAATACACATAACATAAAAGTTACCATCTTAACCATTTTTAAGTGTACAGATCAGTGCTGTGAAGTACATTCACATTGCTCTGCAACCAATCTCCACAACTCTTTTCATCTTGCAAACCTGAAACTCTGTATCCATCAAACATCAAGTCATTATTCCCTCCTCCCCCAGCCCCCCCCATCTTCTTTCTGTCTCTATGAATTTGACTACTCTAGGGACCTCGTATAAGTGGAGTTATACAGTATTTGTCTTTTTGTGACTGGCTTATTTCATTTAGCATATACTGTACTTTTATAAAAGATAAAAATAATAGGTTTGGGGGGAGTTTTGTTATAATTGGCTTGTAAGTATAGATGTTGACAGCTTTTGTCATTTTGGTTAAAAATGCAATCATTCACTGTATCCTCAGTTTACCCCAGTGGTTCCCCAATCTATGAGGGAATCAGAAATCATGTGGGTGATTTAAAAAATATATGGCCTCCTGGGCTACACCGTAGGCCCTCTGAGCCAGAATCTCCTGGGGCCCTGGGGATCTGTATTTTTAAAAAGTCCCTGACAGCTGCAAGCAGCCCACTGTTGGCCCCCACTCACATCTGGCAATGCAGTCTACAAGGCTGGATTTTAGATATAGTCGAGCGGGTCTGGAGCAGCCTCATCCATCTCTTCATCCCATCTCTTCATCATCAGCTACTGGGGTGACTGTTCAGGTTTAAGGGAGGCTGGGGGATTTGAACATCTGCCCTGATGCTGAGGAGAAGTAAGTAAGGCCCTCTCTCCTGTGTCTCCTGAACAGTTTTGTCCAAGCTGTGCTTGTGATACTGTCTGTCTTCTTGTACTTGTTTGCCTACAAAGAGTACCTCGCCTGCCTTGTGCTGGCCATGGCCCTGGGCTGGGCGAACATGCTCTACTACACGCGGGGATTCCAGTCCATGGGCATATACAGTGTCATGATCCAGAAGGTGCGTTGAGGGCTGCCGAGGGTCAGAGACATGCAGGTTCGGGGTCGGGGGAGCCCTCAGAGAACACCCATTGTTCAAATGGGGAAACTGAAGTCTGGAGAGCAAAAGGGGCTTTCCCAAGGGACAGACCACTGCTCATTCTCCCAAACACTGCTGTCTCCCTTTGCCTTTGGTCAGGCTTTAAGGGTCCAGATCTCAAAATGCCTGGGCTTGTTGGGCACTGGGAGGGGTTCCTTTGTGAAGGAATGTTCTCACCCCTAGACAGGGGTGTGCTGGTAGATAGTTAACAACCGGCTCTCTGGGAAAAACACACACACACACACACACACACACACACACACATAATGTTTATTATAAATTTTACCATATGAGTAGCATGCAATTTACAAATAATAATATATAATACTGTTTATTGTAAATTCAACATAGCTAGTTGAGTCTGGCAGAATGATTTGTTGATTTTTGTTGGGCTCATATATCTGTTGCCAGCCTAAGGTTGTAATTGACAAACAAGTGTTGTTCCAACATAAATGTTGCTGGATTTTTTTTTTTACTTTAAGGAGTGAGTTGAAACTGAAACAGTGAAGACTTATGTTGGAACTTCACTTGTTTGTCAGTGATGTGAGCCACTTATCTGCTGAATTGGGTAATAGTTTGCAAATACTGGAATACTGTTTTGTTAATACTATTGTGCTATTCACAACGTAACAGCTACACATAAGGCATATTTTTAAGTTTTATCTGCCCTAACATTTTCTCCATTGCTGTCTTAAGTCTAGATCTAGACAATCAACAAAACAGTGAGTCGATCTCCGGTCTGTAGCATTTAACAATTTCCAAGGTATAAATATTCCCACCATGGCTGATTTCCAGCTACTGACATGATGTCGTTGAACAGACAATTGGGAAGAGATGCACAGTAACACACCATTATATTCTATTTCCACCACATGGCGATGATAGATATAAATAACCTTAAGAGCATAGATAATTGTAAAATAAGTAAAAAGTGACGTTTGGAATAATTACTATCTTTGTTTTCAATATAATTTATATAATTATAAGTTTATATGATTTAATTTTCAATAATGGTTGTGTTTAACAACCAGCTCACGAAATTCCTGAGAACGTAGCAGTCAGCTTTTATGAGCTGGTGTGAGCTGGCTCCAGCACACCACTGCCCCAGGAGGTGGGAGCATTCCCGATGTGAGACTCTGGAGAAAGGTGCTCACGTACAGGGCGAATTAGCAGGGACGGAGACAGACCGTGTTCCAGGAGGGAGGATGGAAGAGAGTGGGCATTTTGGGGGAGATGGGACCCAGAGCTGAGCTGTAGAGCAGCAGGAGGATTTGGCTAGAGGAAGAGGAGAATGGCCGAGTGAAGAAGGTATGATTAGGGTGGGGCCTGGGAGAGGGTGGGAAGCAGCAAGGAGATCAGGGTATAGTGGATATGTGCTCAAACCTTACCCTTGAATCATGTTTCTTTCTTTGTAGGTCATTTTGCATGATGTTCTGAAGTTCTTGTTTGTATATATCGTTTTCTTACTTGGATTTGGAGTAGGTAATTGATTTATAAATAATAGTAACTCCCACATTTGTAAAGCAGTTTATACAGACATCAAAATGACAAAGCACATGGCAGCCTCCGCAACAGTTGTATGGGCCACCAGTGGAGCACCTGCTGTGCTTGGCATTTTGCAAGCCTTATCTTTTTCTTCTCTTGATATCCCCATCAAGGGGAATCATCGTCTCTGATCATAAGGTAACTGAGGCTTAGAGACTCCAGGATTCGACCCGCCCTGTCACTCTTATCTATCCACGCTGTGGGATATGCCTCCCACTTTCACATCCATCATCTTATGTGGCCCTCACAACCTGAGATAGGCGGGGCAGGTGTTTTGGCCCCATTTTACAGATGGGGAAACTAAAATTTGCAGAAATTTGATTGATGGTCTTTGAAAACTAGAAGTAAAGTAATGCATTGAGGTAACCCCCTTTGGCTCCATACATCATGTTACTCACACAGTTTGCTTCAGATATAGCTGTGAGAGCCTCTGGTCTGCTGGGGACCAGGGATGGATCCCCCTCTTAAAACCTCTCCATTTACAACAGAGGGAACAGCACAGCCTGATGTTATTTCTAACCTCTGCATAGAGAGATATGGGTTTATTTTCCCGTGCCAGTTGTGTTTTGTTTTTCAGTGATCATTGGCATTTGGAGTTAGGTAGCTGTTCCCATCTGTCTGGTACCTTTGCTGGGTCACAGTTTGGTTATTTATTTGCTCCTTCACTTGCTTGTTTGTTCGTCCATCTATTTGCTCATTGATTTGACCATTCATTCATTCATCCATTCATCCATTCAGCAATGAGCCACTACTGTGGTATGTTGGAAAGAAGAGAAGAGCCCCAGGCGTTGGCCAGGGGATCTCGCTCCAGAGCATTAGGGGGAGACTCAGGACCTCCCAGTCTTGGGGGATACGACCCAGGTTACAGGCAGTCAGGAGCTCAAAGCCTGGCTGGGGAGCCAGGGACACACAGATTATAGTTAATAATGCTGAAAGGCTGCGAGTGATCCAGGGCCGAATGGTGGGGTAGAGAGGCTAGAGAAGAGAATGGGCTTTGTTAGGAAGGAAGGGCTTTCTGCAGGAGGTCAAGGCAGAGAACCCGCCTGATGAGGCTTCTGGGGGAACTGAGGCTGGAGATGGAATTTAAACAGCCAGAGGGAAGGAGGCAGCAGCCTGCAGTGTGTGTGTGCGTGGGTACGGGTGTATGTGCTTGTGGGGTAATTAGCCAGGCAGAGGGGCTGAAGAGAACACCCTGTTGTGTCCTCCCAGCCCTGGCCTCGCTGATCGAGAAATGCCCCAAGGACAAGAAGGACTGCAGCTCCTATGGCAGCTTCAGCGACGCGGTGCTGGAGCTCTTCAAGCTCACCATAGGCCTGGGCGACCTGAACATCCAGCAGAACTCCAAGTACCCCATCCTCTTTCTGTTCTTGCTCATCACCTACGTCATCCTCACCTTCGTCCTCCTCCTCAATATGCTCATCGCCCTAATGGGAGAGACAGTGGAGAACATCTCCAAGGAGAGTGAGCGCATCTGGCGCCTACAGGTGAGCCTGGCAGGGACCCTGGTTCAGGGACCCCCACGGGGACTCAGTCAGCACACGGTATAGCACAACACATGGTGTATATCTGCACTGGTGGATCTGGGGTGGGGCCTGGGAATCTGTATAGCTCTCTGTGTTTGGCCAGGTTTGAGGAAGCCTTATTCTTGGTTCTTTGAGTATAGGGTCTAGGCAGTGTGGCTGGACAACAGCATGTGTGAGAGGAACTCAGGCTTACGGGTGTGCTCTGCTCAGAGTCAACAGTGTGATATGTGGATGTTGAAGTGTGACCTTAGGTTGCATTACGAGGAGTATAGGGTACAGGACAACGGAGGTGACAATTCTGCCCTCCTCCATCCTGGCCAAGCATCCTCACTTGCTGTGGGCCTTACACACTGAAGACACTAACCCGCAGGGTGGTCCAGAGGTGGTGACCAGGCTTGGGAGAGGACTGGAAACTGCTTCACAAGAAATGGTGTTGAAACCAGGGTTGAAGAAAGTGAGAGTTCCTTCAGATATCTGCAGAGCTACTTGTGAAAGAGGGAGCAGCTTCCACCTGTGGCCCCAGAAGGCAGAACTGAGGTATATGGGGCAATAAGAGGGAGAAAGCTTTGATTCGACACAAAGAAGTTTCTAATTATTAGGGTCTTCTTAGTTGTGTTGTTGATAATATTCAGGAGAGATTGGACAAACTGTTGCCCAGAGAACTGCCCAGGGGATTCCAGGCCTGGGATGGGGGTGGGACTACCTGATGTCTGGGCCTCCCTCCACCGAGGGATCCCAGGAACCAACATTTTCAGTTAGGAAGCTCCTGGACTTCCAGAAACATTGTCTATGTCATGTCAAAGCAATTTGAACACCTTTCCCAAACTTACTGGTTTTTTGTTTTTGAATTTTAGTTTCAAATTTTGAATTTGAATTTGAATTCAAATTTTGAATTTTAGATTAGCCAAGCCCTCAGGATCTATACATTAAGCATCTAGTGGGGGTGGAGTGGATTGTTTGGTGGTGTGTGTGCAGGTACTTGTGTGTGTGTGCACGCTTGTGTGTGTGTGTGTGTGTGTACATGCAGGTACGTGCACACTCTTACCGAGCTGTGCTCCTGGGGTGGCTCCTCAGTGACGTGCTTAGGCTCGTTTGTGTCCTCAGAGAGCCAGGACGATCTTGGAGTTTGAGAAAATGTTGCCAGAATGGCTGAGAAGCAGATTCCGGATGGGAGAGCTGTGCAAAGTCGCAGAGGAAGATTTCCGACTGTGTTTGCGGTAACAAAGGGGAAAGGCCCTTCGGTGGTCGTCCTTGGGTGGGTAAAGAGGGACCAGTCGGTGAGTGTTAGAGAAACAGTGCTGCCGCTTGCTTGCCAAACCACGGCTATGGTCTGTTCTGGCCCCTCAGAAGATGGAATTTGCTCTTACAGGGCCGCTGGCCCTGGGACGAGGCTCCCCGAGGTTCAGAAGGGAGAGGAAAGGAGACTCTGTCGGCAGTGTTCCCCTCTCTGGCTTTCTGGAGGTGCCCCCGGGGCCTCTCCCTGCCCAGTGTCTAGTTTAGAAGAGATTTGCCAGCCTGGCACTCTTTGTCCTTCTGTCCACCCTCTGTGTGTTCACATGACGCCAGGGGACCTGAGGCACATTTTGTCCTTGGCAAATGGAAGTCAGACAGCTACTTTTGACAGACATCAAGCTTTTTGATTTTTAAAAAGTACTGGCACATGCTATGCCATCTTTGTTGATAAGTCCACCTCTTCCTAGCCCCGTCTGATTGTCTGACCCTACAACTACCTTCTTTGTGTATAACCTTACCCTAACCCACTTCTCTGACTAAGATTCCCACCCCCTGGAAACCCCTCCGACTAAAATTGTTACCCTAACAAATACCTCTAATTTCGACGCCCTCACGCTAGAGGTGTTCTCTGAATGTGAACTTCAGCCAGACCGTTGTCTCCAGTTGCAATCCAGCACCTTAGATGCTGCTCACTCTTCTGGGATTTGAACCCTAACCACATTCTCTTCGTGTGGCCTTGACCCTAGCTAAATTCTAGGAATTTAATCCTCACACTCCGGCATCTTCCCAGCGCGGGCCCTCTTCTCCTTCCTTCCCTCATGCCCCGTGGGCTCCCTTTCAGCAGTCAGGCACAGCCACTGCTGTCTGAAGATGTCCCCTTTACATCTCTCTGAGCTTCTGAGTCCCACATGCTGGGAGGAGACTGATCCCTTGAGGCCTGTGAAAATGGGGACTTAGGCAGGTTTCAGACCCTAACAATGCTGACATGACATCTGGGACAGGAGTGCTCCTGATCCCTGGGACGGACAGAAGGGGAGCTCTTGGGGCACCCCAAACTCTGTGCTACTTATTTGCATTTAATAAGGTGCCGTTGCGAAGTAGTGAGAATGATTATCACACTCGCAGAATCAACGAGGTGAAGTGGACCGAGTGGAAAACACACGTCTCCTTTCTCAATGAGGATCCGGGGCCTGGGCGACGGACAGGTACCGTGCAGTCAGGGAGTGTGGCGACGACTCCTGTCTGACCATGTGACCTTGGGCAAACTGAGTGGGAGGGCCCTGATTTTCCCCATCTGTGAAATGGAAGGGTTGAATTAAATTGATTCTCAGGTTCCTTCCAGCTCTGACATTTTATTATTTTTTTATATTTTTATTTTTTTGGTGAGGAAGATTGTCCCTGAGCTAACATCTATGCCAGTCTTCCTCTACTTTATATGGGACGCTGCCACAGCATGGCTTGACGAGCAGTGTGTACGTCCGTGCCTGGAATCCGAACCCGCTAACCCTGGGCCGCCGAAGCAGAGCGCACGAACTTAACCGATATGCCATGTGTGCCCAGCTCTGACATTTTAAAGCCCTAGTTGGAATAACTTCTAAAAATCAGGGGGTGCGCAAGAACTTGGAAGCACATTTTGCAGAGTACTATATTTCTAAAATAGTGTTTTGTTTTTTTTTTAAAGGAGATTTCAACAAAATCCAAGATTCTTCCAGGAGCAACAGCAAAACCACCCTCAATGCATTTGACGAAATAGAAGAATTTCCGGAAACTTCGGTGTAGAAGCAGAACCCAGAGCTGGTGTGAGCGTCTGGCTGTAGGCTGGGCCCTGGACTCAGGCTGAGGCCTTTGCAGAGTGATGGAGCCTGCCTCTGCCTCCTGAGAGGCGGAAAGCACCCTCACGCTGAGTGGTGGCTGAAATGAGAGGCAGTTGTCAGTTTGTCCGAGTGGGGAACACCCTTGATTTTGTCACTTGGCAAAAAGTTTGTGTAAACCCATGGCTGGCAGTCTTGAGCCTGGGAGTTTCCGAAGTCCTGAGTGAAGTCCCTGGGTTCGCCAACTGCACGTGGCTTGGCTGGGAGAGAGGGTGGCAGGGAAGGGGTGGGGGCCTGAGGAGCAGGGAGAGGAGCCTTTCTTCCTGCCAGCATCTCCTTGACAACCCCCAGCCTCAGCCCACACTTTCCGCTGTCTCCTCTGCTGTGACTGGGTCTCTTGAATTAGGGAACTCCTGATCCCATCCCAGATCATACAGGGGGCCGAGCTAAGCTGGATATCCTGGGGGAGGAGGGGAGTGAGCTATGGAAATGCCCTTCCGGAACCTTCAGGGAACAGGAAACCACCCTTGGAATGAGTGCCCTTGGCACCCCAAGGCTCAAACTGTCTCCAACAGAGATGTTTGTAGTAGCATAATTAACACAGGGTTTTTATTTTCAGTAGAGAAAAGACATTTCAGTTTTGAATGAAAACTGCTTCAGATGAAGTACGTGATTTTAAAAGCTGAGAAATAGATTTTGGGAATTGGGGCTGGATGTAAGTAATATATACTTGGGCTCAGGGTGGCCAGAGCAAGGACAAAAAACTTTTCTTCACACACACAAAAGTCCACATGAGACACGCCAGGCAGGGCCTGCCTGGGCCGCTGGATCTGGGTGAAAGAGCTTGGCTCTTTTCCTCGTCCTGGCCCTGTAACTGTGCACGCCTCCGAGCTCAGATCTTAGCTTCATCTGACACAGAAATAGCAGCTGCTCTATTTATATGGTCTTAAATCTCAGAGTTTGCTGTTACACATCAGTATTTCTTATTGGAGGAATTTAACAAAATACCTGAAGTGCTCTGGTATTAAATATTTTTGTTAACTGTGAATTTTGAGGCTGAGGAGTAGACGTGTGAGAAAGGAGCATTTGCCAAGACACGAGGCTTATTTTTAGATCCTCATCCTCTGATTTTCTCTCCCTGAAACTACAGAGAGGCAGTTTGGGGCAGAGGTGAAGTGGAGATGGAAGAAATCTTCCAGATTCCTGGTGCCTAAACAACCAGAAAATCTACTCTGCCTCGGTTATCTGGTAAAAGGAATCATGTGGGAATTTTTTAGGTGGAATTCTAGAGATATTAACCATGAATTTTAATTTTAAATGGCACAAAAATAAATTTGGCTTTTAGACAACTCGGCAATTGGCTAGTTAATCTGATTTGAGGCAAATTGAGGAATGTAGGCAAAGCAGTCCGCTTTGGGCCCGTTTCTTTGCTCTGGGCCACTCTATGAGCCCACTTGCCTGGCTTGGTAGAAATGTGGCCTTTGTGCCCCTGATGGGTTGGGTCAGGGACAGATGGATGGGTCGAGGGCACAGCCTGAGAGCTGCATCATCTGCAGCAGCCCCTGTGCTCCCTGCTGATGCAGGGGGCCAACGGTGCTCTGAGCTGTTGTGGTCAGACGAAGCTCAGGTGTGAGCAGGGGAGGTAGGGGCCAGGCATGTCCTCTGGAGAAAGGAAGATTTGGAGGGACTGTTGTGGAGGCAGGAGGAACAGATGTATTACAGATGGGCAGAGCTAGTGCCAAAAGTTGGAACTTTAGGGGAGAAAGATTTTGGTTCAGTTCAGTCCAGCAAGGGTTCCAGATACTGAAGATGTTGAAACAGAAGCTGGTTGGACACTTATTAGGGATGTTGTTAAAGATCAGATGAACTGGAAGGTCCTTTTAGCCTGGAGATCAGCATCCTGTATCTGGAGTTATCTACTTGCATATATCCAGAACAGATATCCTGGTTTGAAGGGCAGCTGTTTAGATCCATGGTGCCATGCTCTATACTATGGAGCTTGGAATTCCAAAATTGTTTTTTTTTTTTTTTTTTTGGTGAGGAAGGTTCACCCTGAACTAAAATCTGTTGCCAATCTTCTGCTTTTTGTATGTGAGCTGCCACCACAGCATGGCCACTGACAGATGAGTGGTGTAGGTCCGCTCCTGGGAACCGAATCCAGGCTGCCTAAGCGGAGTGCATCAAACTTAACCACGAGGCAACCAGGGCTGACCCCCAGAATTGTTTTGACTTAGATATGTATGGATAAAGCCATATGGCTTTCCATTTCCCACTTGAACAAAAGCTAGGAGGTTAGGCAAATACAAATCAATAACAAGGTCTTTGTTTTCTCACACATATGGAGAGCTGCTTTCTGTGGATCTGGGTGGAATTTGTTGGCAGGACCATTTTCTGTGCTGGACATTCATCCTCAAAAGGCTTTTGGCCTAGATGGTCTGAGCCTAGGTAGGTTTACAAGGGCAAAGGGAAGCAATGAGTCAAAGAGCATTGGTTTAAAAGGACCAGTTCCCTTATTCTATACCTGCAGACGAAAGCTCAGAAAGGAAAAGTAGACTTGTTCAGTCATGCACGAAGTCATATCAGAGCTGTTGAAGGTGGAGTGTTCTGATTCCTGGACCACAGATATCCCGCTGCACCGTTCTTTTTTTAAGCATAGTTATTCAGTAAATTTGAGTCTGCCTTTGTGGCTGGCATGTGTCAGGACCTAGGGCTTTTTGCTCAGATGATTCATGATGGCAGTCTGGATTGTCTCTGTTATCCCTATGACACATTTAAAACTCAAGTGTGCACCAAACCACACACACACACACACACACACACACACACACACACACACACTGGATCCATGGGTGTTTCAGGACATCTTAAAATACCATGATTTACATTTCAGTAATTTAAGAGGAAGACATTTTCCAGGGATGGAATCTCCCATGCTCAGATAATGGTTTTGGCTGGAAATTTTCCTTTAGCTAAACTCTGCCTCAGGAAGAATCCATCATTCTAGATATTATGTGATGTGTCTGGAATAAAAATCGTCTTATCTCCCTCCCTGGGATGTAGGAGAAAGTGTACTGTGAAGTTTTTAAGCTCTTAGAAGGCTCCTGCCTGAGAGATCCTGGTATTATTGACGTTCTTTTCCTTCCTCAAGGCCTGGTGAACTGTGTCCTTTTGCTCTGGGCGGGGCCCAGGTAGATGGGCCATCATCCGGGCCTATAAACCATACTTGATTTCTGCACTGATTTACATGTTTTTTTTGTGATCTTGGTCCCAAATATAGAATTGTCACCTTGTTCTCACTGATTGTGCCTGATTCTTGTAAATTCTAATTTACATTCTTGTTCTTAGTGTTGTATGTGTGTGAAACTCTATGTTTAATAAAGAAGTCATAAATAGAGTAAGAACGTTTTCATGCCATCGAAGAAATGCTTTTATGATTTCTAATAAATATTTATTTTGCCTTGTTATTGGTCATGTTTTATCCTTAGGTATGCCAATATGAAGACCAACTAGATATCCTAGAGTGTTGCTTAACATGAGTGGATAAAGGGAAGGTCACTTTTTGGACGTGAAACATTATTATTGGCCCCAGCTCAGGGACAGAGCCAGCACACTAAGACACGCCACCTTTGAACAGAGTTTAAGTCTCAAAGTGCATTCATGTCCGGTACCCCATTTAAACCACTCAACAACTCTGGAAGCAGTTTGAGTAAAAGGAGATTCGGGGAGTTAAGTGACATGCCCAAGGAATCGCAGCCAGAAATGTTAGCGGTCAGGCCATATGACCACCGAACAGTGCTCTATCCATCATGCCCCACTGACTCTCAACTTATTTTGCATGGATATAAAACCACGACTCCACCTGGAGACCAGAAAGTATAAATCCCTCCTCTTTACCTCACAGGACCTTTGTGAGGAAGTAGTGAGGGAATAGATATGAAAGAGCTGATATTATTACTATCACTGTTGCCTATTGGCCCCACTCAAATGTATATGCAGTTTTTCATTCTTTTGCGCTATTTCATAAGGATGGCAGTTCTCAATGCCAAGACATCTCTTGAATGCCAAGACACTGCTGTGTCTTGATGGGTTGCAGAATTTGCAAACAATTTATTAATAAGTGATATGCTACATTTGGTGAATTATTTACTTAATTCAAACGATTCCCGGAATAACATCCTTCACTGGGATGTGTCTTCTTGAGTGGCAAAGAAATGGGAATTGTACATAATCTACATCCTAGCTCAAATAGGCTTCAACCTATAATCTGAATGTGCCATCCATGGGAACATTCTGGGTGGACTGATAGAGAAAGGTGGAAACTCTTGTCATAGGATATATTCTGAGAGTGGGATGCCTAGGTCAATGGGTGTGAACATTTTTATGGCTCTTGATACTGCGAAAAATTACCTTCCAAAAGGTATTTTGCAGTTTTTTTCAGCCTTTGAGATTATATGATTCTCTATTTATAAGGCTCTTTCATTCACATTGGTTATCTCAACAACACAGTTTTGTAGATTTGATGGGTATTATATCCCTATTTAATAGGTAGGGAAATTGAGACTTGGAGAGACAAGTAAAGGTCACAGTGCTTTTTCCTGGGCCAAAGATCCAAGTTCTCTGAAGTTTACTGGTAAATGCTAATCTGTTAGTGTCAATGAGCTTGTATAACAGAGTGGTCTAGCCGACTGTGAATCACATTTAAGAATAATCCAGGTGAAGGGAGTGTGGGGGTGAGACAGGGTTTCCAAAAGAGGGAACAACATGGGCAAAGACCTCAAGGGAGTAGGGAGCTTGGTGCATTTGAGGATGGAGAAGTCTGTGTGGCCAGATTTCTGGGAGCAAGGGGGCAAGTGACATGAAATAGGGCTGGAGAGGTAGGCAGAGGCCAGAGCACGTAGGACTCGTCCAGCCAGGGTGACGCTTTGAGATTTCATATCAAGGGTTAGGGGAAGCCACTAAAAGATTTTACACAGGGGGATTATTGAATGTGAACATTTCTCTGTTTTTGCTACGGGGTTGCAGGCTTAAAAGGGTGTATTTTCCCCCCTGCCATCCTTTGGGACATGGCAATGGTTTGAAAGGTGTGGAGTGGAGTGAATTTCACTTGGGAGTGATGGGAATACTCAGGAAGTCACTGGGAAGGAAGGAAAGAAGTAAAGAGAAGGCAGGGACATTGGTGGGATAGGAAGGAGGTTCAGTAGAGAAAGGATGTTTGTGCATACTCAGTTATTCTGCTAAACTTTATGGGGCACTTTTTAGATTGTAAACACTGAAAAAGACACTGTTAATGTCCTCAAGATGGATGGAAGCAGAGAGGGGCAAAGGGGCAAACCAAGAAGTCTTTAAAGATGAAATGAGAGTTGAGTTGCATTTTGAGGGAAAAATAGGAAATAGCTGGAGTCAGGTCTGAGTGAGGGGAAGGGGGATGGGGGAAGGGGGATGGGGGATGGAGGGAGAAAATTCTGGGTGGAAGGAGCAGTCTGTGTGAAGGCGTATAGGAATAAAACAACAGGAAGCAGACTGGAACAGAGAGGACCTGAAGGGAGAACAGTCTAGAGAGGTAGGGGAGGGAGGGGCAGATCATAAAGCATCTTTTGTGTTAGGAACTTGAATGTGAATAATTTATTCTGTACTAGGCACTGTGCTAAATGCTTTTTGCATTAGCCCACTTAATCCTCACAATAACCCCATGAGAGGGGCACTATTATTATGATCATCCCCATTTTATAAATGAGAAAACCGAGTCAGTAGACTGTTAGAAATAATCAGAGTGGAATAAAACTGAAAGTGGCTAAAGCCACGGAGCAATATGTTATAGATTTTTAAAAAATCACATCTAATTAGAAACTCTGAAGACTATAAATATTGTCAGAGAAAATTAGATTTGATAGAAAAAATCAATACAATAACCAAAACCACAATGGCCTAAATTGCACATTGTAAATTTTGTAAGTAACTAAAATTTGATGGAAGAACAAAGTATTCTTGCCAAGATTTACATCTGGAAAAAATTGACCCAGAAAAATTGGACTTGGACATAAAACACAAAGGAACATTCACAGTGGGAGAAGGAAGCTTGGTAAAACTTGTTACTTACAAAAACTGAGTGATAAATTGAATTTTTAGTACAGAATTCAGAAGGAAGAGAGCTTATTTCAAATGAAAATAATTTTGATAAAGTACAAAAGTAAATGCTGAAAAATTTAGAAACAGTTTAATTGTGCTCTATAGAACATTGAACATGGAAAGAAATTGGCTTGAAGGGGTTTGCTCTGGAAGAATGAAAATGTTTATCTATATATATTCTAGATAACGTTACTATGATTTTAGTAAAATTTAAAACCACAAATATGGGTTATTTGGAGTCCAAACATGGGATAAAACCACTCTTTACTTGCCCTCTGGGTCTATGGGAGGTGGGCAGGGGGTGGGGGTCTCCTACAGGGCTAGAGAGGGAGGGAGGCAGCGTTCCAGCCCGGGACCGTTGAGAAGAATCATGGGAGGTGAGGGATTTGGGCGTTCAGGACATGGAGGAATTTCTTGGAAGAATGCATTTGCGAACCAGAGACGTGGGTTTGAGTCACATTTCCACTAGTGTCCCCTGCCCTCTGCTATTTCTGTCTTTACCACCTATGCTGCTGGAGCCCAAAGACTTCCTCACACGTGGCTGGAAACAAGGGCAAGCAAATTCTTTCATTATGAGAAGTGACGGTGGTGAGGAACATGCCTCTTCCAACTCTTCCAAGTTGGGAAGGAACGTTAGCTTCTGAAGGGGCGTGTGAGACGTCTGAAGGAGGCTCTCGGCTCCCTGGGGTCAGCGCAGAACAAGTGGGCATACAGAGCACCCATGCTTTGTGTGGGTCACTGTCTGGGACAAAGGACCATTCAGAGTTCTTGATTTATTCATAATGTTATCTTTACAATCAGCCCTCATTTCTCTTTCACATTTCATCTTCAAAAGAGCATTTAAAAATCTCCTGCAGATATCACAACTGTTGCTAAAGTTTACAGACTGGATACTTAATACATTATCATTAATTTAAATATGAAAATTTTTAAAATAGCAGGTCTGCACTGTTTCTAGTAACCTTTATACATCACTTGAAATCATACAATAGTTAATGCTATGCTCAAGTTAATAACTTTCTGTATATAGTATCTATTTCAATTTTAAAATTTGAATTTAAAGTATATTTATTAAGAATGTTAAACTATCAAAATATAATGTGTAAAAAGCCACGTAGGGGGCCAGCCTGGTGGCGCAGCTGTTAAGTGCACGCGGTTCACTTTGGTGGCCCGGGGTTCGTAGGTCTGGATCCTGGGCGCGCACCAACGCACCGCTTGTCCAGCCATGCTGTGGTGGCGTCCCATATAAAGTAGAGGAAGATGGGCACGGATGTTAGCCCAGGGCCAGTCTTCCTCAGCAAAAAAGAGGGGGATTAGCATCAGATGTTAGCTCAGGGCTGGTCTTCCTCGCACACACACACACAAAAGCTATGCAGAAGTAGGAAATGCACTTCTTTGAATAAGCTACATACATGAAGTATGCTACCTTTAAAAGACATTCATTAATTGACTCATTCAAGAAATTGACCTGAATGCCCCCTCTGTGCAAGGCACCGGGTTAGTGCTATGGCTGTGAAGCTGAATAAGGCACAATTCTGCTCTTCAGGAGCTTAGAAACTAGGAGAGTTTTTCAAGATACTGTATAACAAGTGAGCTAGAAGTGATTTCTAATGTAAAGAGGAGCGAATACTTTTTGCATTGAGTGTTAGTTTAGTTGTCTTTGCGAAAGCTTCTTTCTTTTCATAGTACGCGGCCTCGTTTACAAACACCGGGTACACGGTACAGTCTCCGCCCAGTGGAATAGTCTTTCCATCAAGAGTTAAAAACACAGGATCCCCAGGGTGCAATGGTTTCCAGTCTTGGTCCTCTCAGGAAACAATTAAAACACATAAATTACATTTGGTTTTTCTCTTACGTTAAAAGTTTTATGTCAAGGTCTAGACAACTAGCAAATTAGAGCATTGTATCCTTTTACTTGAGAGATGCGTTGAGAGGCACATGAGTAATCTGACTAAACTGAGACTGAGTAATTAATTTTGGCAGCAGTCTTAAAAGTCCCCTTTTTTTAAAATTATTTTTTATTTTTTTAAAGCATGGATCATTGGAAGCCATCTTTGAAGCTGCCTACCACACCCTTTCTTCCCCCCACCCCCAAAGCTCCAGTAGATAGTTGTATGTCATAGATATACATCCTTCTAGTTGCTGTACATGGGACGCGACCTCAGCATGGCCAGAGAAGCGGTGCGTCGGTGGGCGCCCAGGATCCGAACCCGGGCTGCCAGCAGCGGAGCGCGTGCACTTAACCACCAAGCCACGGGGCCGGCCCATTAAGAGTCCCCTTTTAATTTTTATAACTGACATGTGTAATTAGAGTTTGCTTTGATACCAAGTCTGCCCTGAATGTAGCCTAAGAGATTTATAATATTAAAAGGCAAAACTAAATGCACGTCTCCCTAAGTGTATATTCTACCTCTTGCTGGCTGAAGTTAAATTCTGTTCAGCATAATTTAGGAACTATCCATTAGGAGCCTTTGGTGTGAAGATGTTCTACTGTTGGGGATATAAAAATGAGTAACACTGTGCCTGCACGCAAGGAGTTCTATGCTGATGGGGTTGGTGAGAGAGGGGGCTGGGCTGGGAAAAGTCTGAGACCAGGTGGATGTATTCCATACATGTCCCCACATCATGATCGCAACTGAGTTATCTGAGAGGTCCGTACCGGGGATTTGGACCTTTGAGCCCTCAAACACCCATGTTGTCACACCACAGGAACCCTGGAGCAGTTCTCAAACTTTGATGTGCTTGCAAATCATGTAGGGATTTTGTTAAAAGGCAGATTCTGATTCTATAGGTCTGGGGTGGGAGCCTGAGATTCTGCATTTCTAACACTTTCCAGCGGCAGCATTGCCTGGGAGTTTGTTAGAAAAGCAGAATTTCATTCCCTATTGCAGACCTACTGAATCAAAATCTTCATGTTAATAAATCCCCGGAGATTCACATGTGCAACATTAAAGTTTGATAAATGCTGTATGACGGCAATTTTCTCAACCCTGGCTGCACAGTATAATTGCCCGGATATTTAAGAAATGTAGGTGAGTAAAGGCTGGCCCCATCTCAGATACATCAAATCAGAATTTCAAGAGTGGGGCTCAGGCATCATTATTTTTCAAATTTACATACAGTAAAATTCATTCATTTTTGTGTACAGTTCTATGAGTTTTGATAAATGCATAGCATAGTCATATAACCATATAACCACATACTCAAGACATGTAATTCCATCACACAACTCCCCCAATTCCTTCATGCTTCTCATTCATAGTTCACCGTTTTTTTTTTTTTTTTTTTTAAAGCTCCAGGTGATTCCACAAGACAATGTGGTTGAGAACTACTGTTCTGGACCAGTGAATTTCAGTCAGAGATGTGCCCCAGAACGATTGAAGGCATTTCTTCAATCCTTCCCCACCCTCTGTGAGTCCCTCCTGCAGGGATTCCAATGCAGCGCAGTGCTACCCAAACCTGAGCCACAGGAAAATCACCTGGTGAACCTAATCCATTTCCTGTCTCCACCTTGATGAAGTAAATCAGAATCTCTGGGGATGGGACCTGGGAATCAGGATTTTTAGAAAGCTCTTCCAGTGATTCTCAGGTGGCCTGAGTTTGAGAAGCACTGCTTTAGTGCTTCTGTGGTGGGCTTCAGGCATTTAGGGGGGAATCTCCTAGATAATTCCAGTGAGAACCCCTGATTAAGAACCACTGCTCTTAGAATAAAATCTGGGCTCGTGCGGCTGGCCTGGTGGCGTAGCAGTTACGTTGGCGTTCTCTGCTTCAGTGGGGGGGGTTCACTGGTTCTGATCCTGGGCGCAGACCTACTCACCGCTCATCAAGCCATGCTGAGGCAGCGTCCCACACAGAAGAACTAGAAGGACGTACAACTAGGATATACAACTACGTACTGGGGCTTTGGGGAGAAAAAAGGAAAAAAAAAAAATCTGGACTTGTAACCAGGTCCCTGCCTGTCTATCTGGCTCCAGGGTCTACTGTCCTCTCTGTTCACTCCCTGCTCTCCACTGACACTGGTCTTTTTGCTATTCCTCAGACACTCCAAGTTCGTTCCAGCCTCAGGGCCTTTGCACTTGTTTTCCATGTGGTGACTTCTCATCTTCTAGGCTCCAGCTTCAATGCCTTCACCTCAGAGATGGCTCGTTCCGGCCACTCCATCTCCTTTTGTTAACCTCTACTCTATTATTGTTTATTTCTTTTATAGCACTTATTACAATTTGAAATCATCTGATTTATGTATTGTTTACTTATTCATGGTCTGTTGTCCCTCTATTAGTACGGAAGCTCCATGAGGGATCTTGTCAGTCTTGAATCTCAGGGCCCAGAACAAGTTTAGAAGTTATTCAAATATATTTATGGGAATAATCAACCAATCCACCCCTCCTGTAGAACACTGAGCCATTTGTTATAGTCTATCAAATCAAAACTATCCTTCCTGAATTTCAAGGCCTCCCACTAACCCTATTTGTTACTGATCTCATGAATCTCGCTTCTCTGCCGCCCCAGGATGATTTTTTACTCCTCAGGAATCCCTGAGGAATAGAAAACAAAAATCCTGTGTGGTAGCTGGTTATGACATCGTCACCTTGGCCTCTGTTTCTTGTACTTGCTATTTTTGTTACCTGTAGTGCTTTCCTCCTTTCTCTCCCCAATCTTTACCTTTCTGTCCTTTAAAACATTGTTGAAGGCTCCTTGTTTAGGTTTCCACCTGGATCCCACTAAGGCACAAAGCAGGATTTGCTCCACTAGTCTGTATTTCTGGGCAGCTCCTTTATCACGTTGTAAGTCTGGATGGCTGTCATTAGGGTCATTAAACAGGAGCTTGAACTGGATTAGTGGTTCCCACCCTGATTACTCAGGCCAATAAGACCAGATTATCTCAGAGTGGGGTCCTGGCGTCATCATTTTCTGAAAAGCTCTCTAGGCAACGTGTAGCAGCGTCAAAAGCCCGGGACTGGATAATCTGCCAGGTCTCTTCCATCTCTGAGGTCTGAGGGTGTGTAGGGTACTCACAATGGGAATGAATGTTTTAGCTTTTTGGAATCTTTGCTCCTCCCTTCTTTTACCTGTCTTTTCCAGATTTAAACCTCCTACACTCTCTCAAGATCCTTTTCTTCCTCCTTCACTATGCCATTATTATTGTTCTACTATCAAGGAACAGATAGTGGGGTTCCGAGGAGAGTCAGGGAATGGCACAGAAAATATTCCAAGGAAAGAGGTTCTGATCGTTTTCTCTCACTCATTCAGTAATGATCACAGGGAGGTGGCAGTAATGTGGTCAACTGCAAAGAACATTAGTTCTGGATCTGCCACTGAGAGCTATACAGCTATGGGAAGGACCTAACTTCGGAGCCTCTGTTTTCTTATGTTAAAGAAGATACGGTAGGGCTGGCCCCGTGGCTTGGCGGTTAAGTGCGCGCGCTCCGCTGCTGGCAGTCTGGGTTCAGATCCGGGGCGCGCACCGACGCGCTGCTTCTCCGGCCATGCTGAGGCCGCGTCCCACATGCAGCGACTAGAGGGATGTGCAACTGTGACGTACAACTATCTACTGGGGCTTTGGGGAAAAAAAGGAGGGGGATTGGCAATAGATGTTAGCTCAGGGCCTGTCTTCCTCAGCAAAAAGACGAGGATTAGCACGGATGTTAGCTCGGGGCTGATCTCCCTCACAAAAAAAAAAAAAAAAAAAAAAAAGGAAGATACGGTAATTCCTATGCATTGCTCTTGGGCAGGAATTTCACTTTCTCTGAGACGCCTTGTCTGACCACCCCTCCCCACCTCATTATTCTCTTATAGTATCTGGTTATCTTCATTTCTAGACCATACTTTAGACTTTAGTATATCTAGGCTATGAATTCCACAAGAGCATAGATCGTGTTCACTGATATATCCCCAGAGTCAGCACAGGATACACTCAATAAATGTTTACTGTGTGAAGGCCTAAATATCTTACCTACACTTCAGTGTTTTTGAGAATATCAAATGAGCTAATGTAGGTAAAAGGCTTTATCAACTGCAAAATTCTACTCGAAGGTGGGGCATCATTATTTTGAATATTTTAAAGAAACAGCGAATGTTACCTGCAGAGTAGGGTGGATAATAGCAGCAATTTCTCCACTTTCATTCCTGGGATAATCAACTTTCTCCATTATATTATACACTTCAATAGTGCAGGGAGGAAACTCTTTTCCTATGGCAAAAACAAGGTGTATACATAGCAACTAAAAGAAATATCTCTTGAAAAAAAGGAAATTGATACTTTAAGGAAGGAAGAAGAAAAACAACAACCAAAAACTACAGACAAACAGTTCCAGGGAGAACACAGTACTTCAGTTGAGGATGTTCATAAATGACACGAAGCCAAATGATGTTCTCAAGTTATTGCTATCACAAGTACACTGATGGGCAGGGGTAGAAAACAGAACACAAGAAGCCAGTGCGGGAGAAAAAGAGCCCAGGACTAGGAGTCAGGACAGCTGGGCTCTAGTCCCCTAGCTGTGTAATCTTGAGCAAGATGCTTAACTTCTCGAGGCTCGCTTTCTTTACTTGTCAAATAAAGGTTTTGAATTAGCTTATCTTGGAGGGCCCTTCCAGCTCTGAGACTCTATGATTGCATAGCTTCAGGAGGACGTCCAGCAGGTTAGGTGACTTCAGCGTTTGCTCTTTCTCTTAACTAAGAACATTAAACACTAGGGCAGCTCCTGAGCAGTGAGGTCTTGGGATGCAGGCAGTCTGCCAACTTCCAAAGGTGCGGCAACATTAAACAACCCAATGCCCAGAAACTTGGAGAAGGAGTAGTTTACATATATACTCGGGCAATGTCTGAGCAAACAGGATGAACTTTCGTCCAACGCAGGGCCCATGGTGTGCTATGGTCACAACCTCCCCCCAAATTTTCCTTTGCCCCGAGAGCAGAAAGTGCAGCCAGGGTTGGAATGTAGATATCCTGTGATCACTTCCGCATCAATTAGCTTTCGCTGTATAACACACTACCCCAGAACTTAGTGGTGTAAAACAACAACCCTTTAATTTAGCTCATGATTCTGTGGGTTGGTTGGGCAGTTCCTCTGGTCTAGGCTGGTTTGGCTGATTTCTGATCGGCTTGCTCACGCATTTGCGGTGAGCTGGCTGGTCAACTGGAGGCTGGAGGATCTGGGATGGCCTTACTCTCATGTTTGGCATTTGACAGGCTGTCAGCTGGCGCTGCAGGACTATTGGCTAGGGTGTCTGAGTTCTCTGCCTCATAGCCTCCCGTTATCCAGCAGGCTAGGGTGGCCTGAATCACTTAACAGCAGTACACAGCTCCCAAGGGCAGCAAGCCCCAGTGTGCAAGTCCTTTTCAAGCCTCTTCTGTGGCACAAAACAAGTCACATGGCCAAGCCAGATTCAGGGGGTGGGGAAATAGACTCCACCTTTTGATAGAAGGATCTAAAACATTATGTTGCAAGGACATCAATGAAGGGAAGGAAAGAATTTGGGGCCATTTTTACAATCTACCACGCCTTTCAAGGTGAAGATGGAAATTTATCAGATGTCATCTTTTTAAACCAGAAGGTCCATTGGGAGGAAAGGACAAAGTGAGAGAACACAAAGGAGTATGTTTTCGCTACTTAGAAACTCAGAGTTGGAGGGAGCTTGAATTTCTCCATCCAATATTCTCCATTTCATTCTGGCCAAGTGGTCATCTTACTTCTGATTGAACAACCTCACAAAGTGTGGTCTGTTCCATTGTTGGTCAGCTTTGTTAACTAGAAATTTCAATCTTTGGGTAACTTTATCCCACTGATTCTATTCTGCCCTCTGGGTCACAGAAAACATGTGTAATTGCTTTCCAATATAACACTTCTGAAACTCTAAAATAAAATTGCCCTCAAGCCTTCTTTTTCCCAATCTAAGTATCCTTAGTTCTATCGGTCACTACTCAGATGTGGTCACATACATGAAGGTAGATATGGAGGCACTTGTGAACTGAAGTTCTATGTGCATCTTAGGGATTATTCTTATTATGGTTTTCAAACTCTTCAACAGTCTCAACTCTCTCCTTGGCTGACCTCTACTTTATAGATATTCCTCCTGAAATATGAACTCAGAATTTATTCACAGTTTTCCAAGTGTTGTTTATCTAAGGCAGAAAAGAGACCATCACCTCCCTCATTCTGGGATTTTTAAACATAAAAACAAAATTTTGTTCATGATGTATTTAACCTTAAACATTTGGTTTAGATAATCATTAAAGATTGTCAGGACTTTTTGGGTCCACCTTCTGAACCTAGATTTTTCCCTGCTAGCTTCCTGCCACCTATCACTTATACAAGCATGTCACATATGTCCTATCCAAGTCACTAATAATAATTTTGAGCAGCACAGAGCTGAGGATGGAGCTCTTCTATACATTTCTAGAGACTTTTCTCAAGACGGTTATGATCCTTTTGTCAGCATTCTTTAGATAATGGTGCTCTTTCCATGTTAGTTAAAAATCCACCAAACTGGATAGTCTAAATTAATAGTGGTTAAAAGTTTCTGAATTGCAGAAGCCTTTGCTTAAAGGAAATGTTACACGGAAGAACAATGAGGGAAGAGCCACTCTGGTTGAAGCGGAGGTGGATCCCTACCCCTGTGGGAAGAATCTCTGGACTAAGATTTGATAACCACGTTTTTCCACTCAGGTTTGTGGGCTTCTACCTGGCTGCATCGTTTCTTTACATACTGTAGTCCCACACCTACTATTCAAAGGGTTTCTTGTGAATAAGTGGTGACCTTCCCAGCACCAGGTCCGTTAGGCAGTATAGAACCTGTCCTCAGACAAAGGTGACAAAAAGCTGATTTTCAGTCTTTATGACTTTGGAGTCAAGAGATTCCCAAGCACAGAAGAAATTGCTGTGATAGCAGCAGGGGCACAATCTGAGGTTAAGGAATTATACTCCCCTCAAACACCAAACTATTCACCAGCTCTGTCACTATAATGACCCATTCGTCAACAACAATTTTAGTTCAGCCTGTTGGAATAATTATTTACATAGGTCTCTTCAACTTTATTTTAATTATAATTTTTTAAAAAATTTAAAGCAAACAATTTTTATAATTAATAGATTTCATTTTTTCTACTGCAGTATTAGATTTACTGAATAAATGAGCAGATAGTACATAGAGTTCCACATACCCACCCCACCACCAGCCCCCATTTAGTTATTTTTTAATGATACAAATAATACATGAACACATTATTCTTCTTGGAAACAATTAAAACAAAATTAACCTGGTTTGTGCCTCCCCTCCCCAGTAATCACTGTGATCAGTTTGATGTGTTTTCTCCTAGAGCTTTTTCTGTGTTTTAAAAAAAATATATATATATTTGTATTCTAGCAAGTGTTTATATTATTATTATTTTGAAACAAATTGGTAAACTGTATGGTTTGGTCTGCAACTTGCTTTCTTTCTATTAACAATGTATTTGAAGATCTTTCCATATTAGTTTATTTAACTGTTCCCCAATTCATGGATATCAGGTGGTTTCCATTGTTTTGCTGTTACAAATAATGCTGCGATAACAACTCTTGTGTATGACACACTGGGTGTGCATGTGCTTGTGTTTGAGATGTGGAATCGCTGGGTCCTAGGATTTGTGCATTTTAACAGGTCGATACTGTAAAATTATCCTCTAAAGTCTCTTCACTAATTTATACCAGAAGGGAATGAGAACATTCCCCTACCTTACCAAGTCTTAATCTTATCAGATTTTAATATCATCCCAATCTAACGGGAGAAAATGGTTTCTCATTTTAATTTGCATTTCTCTGATTACTAGCAATATTGAACATATTTTCATATGTTTATTGGACATTTGTGTTTCCTAGTATTTCTTTGCTTTTTAAAATGGAGATTAATAGGAAAATAAGGATTTTATTTGGGGAGCGTTATTTGGTAGCCACTTTTTTTGAATGTGTCCATTCTGGTCATGAGGAATGGCTGAAGTGAACACAATTTTTAAAAAACACGTAATATCATGAGCATAGCAAATTTGACCTGGGTTCCAATTGCCATTTCAATGCTTAGTGGTTAATCATTATGTGTGCTCATCTCAGCTCCCTTTTCTGATTTATTCACACACACACACAAGCTAACAATTAAGGAAACAATTTCTGCCCGTTACTTACCTTCATTAAAATTATGTATAAAATCAAGAGCGTGTTTAATCATTTTTCTCATTTGATCCAAAATATCAGCTCTCAGAACCCCTTGAGGCTGGGGACCAACTTCTATACCTAGGTACCGAAGGGGAGATAGTTACATTTATGTAAGTATTAGAATATGTTATAAAATTAAGCATTTTAATATATCAAGATCTAGAATCCCATCATTAAAAATTATTAAAAAGATAGAACATGTAGCATCATAGAGAATATATAAGACATAAAGTAAGGCAAAAAATAAATCAGAACACTTCCAAGTTATGTGCATAGTGAATTAAGACTGGGAAAGAATATGGAAAAAATCAGAGAGTTGTGTTAGAGTAGTAAGATCTTGGGGTCTTTTTTTCTTTAAATTTCCTCCAATATTGTCAACATACTTAAAAATCATAATAGTAAAAGGGGTAAACAGATCTATACTGACAAAATAGTAAGTGGTCACAATGAGAAACAGTTGTAGACCTAACACTTAGTTTTGACAGGAAAAAGGACATCTATTTAGTCAGAGAAATCTAGAATATATGAACCATAGATTTAAGTCAACATGACAATCTATGTGACCCTAGAACAACACTCTTGTCCTTAACATAACAACCCATCCCAACATGATAGTGTAATAGTTTTAATTTTTCGTAGAAAAAATTTGTACTTATTTCTTCTCACCCCAATACAATTACACCTGGACTATCAGGTCTACTTCCTGTGGCTGTCAATCATCCATCCTCATTCCTACAAAATATTCTTTCTTTAAACCACTTATCTAGTCCCTTCCCTCTTGTTCAAGTGTCCCACACAGTTATCCCCCCAATCACCCCTGTCTCCATTTATCAAACCATTTACCAAGTATAATATAATCCATTCTCTTTCTCTTCCACCCAATTCGTATATAGTCTTTTCCACCCATCATATTTTCACCCACTTCTGTTATTTCTCAATTTACAAAATCTTACAATATTCTCTTTCATCTTCATTTTTTGTTTGTTGTGCTCAGTTTTCTTGTATATATATTTGGAAATGTATTTAAGTATATGGTATAAATGTGGCTAAGGTATGCATCTATGCATAAATGATTTGTACGAATGTGTGAAAACATGTTCAAGCATATGCCTGTATGCATTTTGTAGAAGACGTTTTTGGTTGCCTACCCAAAATCCATTCCATCTTCCTCCTTGCTGACAGAGTCCTGATTTTGGTTGGATATCCAATCTTCCAGGTAGGTGAACCTTTCTCCAGCTCAGGAGATTATGTGAAATATTTAAATCAATCACGGAAATCCCATTATCCTAGTGATTAATTTAAGAATGGATTGGTGAACCAGTCTGGGCAAGGGGCCATAATGGAAGATCTTCAGGGGAATTCCTGAGAGTCTCCTTTCTTCCCCCGAATATTGTCATGTTGGCATATAATGCTTGAAACTACAGTGGACATCTTGTGGCCATGGTGGCTGCTAAAGACACACTAAAGAAAAGACTAGAGAGATAAAAAGAACCTGGCCTCTCATGATGTTGTTGAGTTGTTATGTAAAAATAATAAATTTTTCTTATTGCTTAAGCCATTTTGAGTTTCCTGAAGTGAAAATTCTACATATGCTTGTTTTGAGGGCGATGGAAGGTGTGGTGTGAGCAGTCCTATGTGGAGAAGAGTTACGAATTGTAGGAATGGGTGCTTGCTCCAGAAAAGTCAGTTACTGAAGTTATCGTTTTTCCTTCTGACTGTGAGTGGAGGAGAATAGTAGGGTGGCTATAATGTCCAAACCAAAAGTCAACCATTACACAGATCCTATGCCAGAGAAGAATGTTTACATTTGTAGGACATGGCCATGGCATAGTCAGCAGAGCTGAAGGAATAACGGTCATAAAGTTAACTTTTCTGAGTCTCAAATGAGGCAATGGTGAATCTGGAAAAGTTAGGAGAAGATTGTGTCCAGTCACTCTTGTGTTTATGTTTGTGTGTGTGTGTGTATGTGTGTGTGTGTGAGAGAGAGAGAGAGAGAGAGAGGCAGAGAGAGGCAGGCAGACAGATAGACAGACAGAAAGACAGAGAGAGAAAAGGAATGAGATTCTGGGAATGATCATAAGGCCGGCTGCAGCAAACTACTTCTTTCTGGGATAAAGTTTACCTAGAACGATCCTGCCACGTTTCAGCTGCCTTGGCAATAGAGGTATTGGCAAAGTTAGTCCTTGTATGTGGCTAGTAGAAGTTAAAGCAAGTTTTTATTGTACAACAGTCATAAGTGTACTATAAAATGTTGAATCAGAGAGACTGTCTCTCTGTTCTCGTTTTTTTTTCTAAATGAGTGCATGATATTCCAAATAAAATAGCAAAGTTGCAAGAAGCACATACAATATTTCTAATTATTTATGACGATCTTAATACTCCCTCATGTTGAAATGTTTTAAAGAATTGATTCTATTTTTAAGGGCCAAATATATCAGTAGATATCTGTTCTGGCTAAGGGTGGCATTGCCCCATAAATATCATAGACCAAGATTGTTCTTTCAATGTGTGGACATCTTATGCTTTTATTTGGCATCACAGAGGAACAGGATCTCTATCCCTTATTGTTAAGCACTTGTTTTGTTTCAAATAATTACCTATACTTGGATATTCAGCTTGACCCAACTGATCACTTGATTATGCACCAAAATGATCCATAATTGAATAGCCAAGATAACTTTAAATGTGCTTATATGGTTTGACAACTTGTTTTTAATTTAAATTGCTATTGGTTAAACCATCTGAGATCTAATAAAAAAGATTTAAAAATGTGACAGCAATTTTAACAATTATAGTGTAGCCTGCAAACAATTTTGCTAATAGGTCACTCAGGAAAGAGAATGGAATATAGAAAAAAGTGACTGTCTAAGAGGTGTATGGGATGCTAGCCTGCATGTTGGAAGCTACCAGAAGGTAAAGATGAATTCACAGGCCAGTAATTGACATTGGCAAACAAGTGATTGGATAATAAACACAGTTTATGAGAGACTCTACTGCAAAGCAGATACTAAGAGGGATGATGGGAGAAGATTTTCTATGGGTCTTTTGTGTTCCTGCATGTTTTGCCAGCAAGACACTGACTGCCTTGGTTCCAGATTATTTTTTCAAGAATGTTTGTATGTGAACAGTCTTGGAAGATAGGGATGGTGTTTTCCTCAGAGCAACGGTCAGGTATGCTTACTCCCCATTATAAAAGATTCAAATTCCCTCAGCTCAGTGTTTCTCTCCTGGAATGCAGAAAGCTGCTCAATGAAACTGAGGAAATTTGATATAGTTAGAGCCTGCCTGAAGTTAGTTTACTTATTACTTACAATTATACGCCACAAGGATAAGCAAGGTAGTTATAAATATTCTTTAAAAAATAATTATCTCTGAGTTTCATGTAGGACATATTTTGTTAAGTTGTGACAATGGGAAATACTACTTACCAACAGGGTACTTGGCTACAGAGCGAGTGGTTGCATATTTGAGGGAAGGATGCTCAATAAGATAAACATAGCAGGGTAATGGGGCCAAAGAAGTCTGCAAAGAATTTAAAACATGGTTCTTATGACGTAAAAACCATCTGTGTTGTTCTCTTTGCTGCTAGAGAGTCAATAATGCCTTCAATATGTTTTATTTCATCAACTAAGATTAGTAAGACAGTTTTATGAAACACACTCTAGAACCCAATGTTATAATTATAGTTTTGAAAACATAAATGAATTACATATAAAATTGAATTACATATAGCTTTGTGGGTAAAATGTACATTAAACAGTTCTCCAGAACCATGATCAAAGAATATGAAATAAATTTTCCTTCTGAGTGGATTTGCTTATTTTTGTTTTGATCACTGGTTCCGCTTACTATTTAGCTCAGTATTGGTCTCTTAATGAATTCTGTTTCCACCCTGTTGTCCAGGTCTCTACAGATGTTGGGTAACTCCTCCTACCCCCATTTATCTGAATGAGAATTCAAGACTGGCCTCTCAGTTTTGATAAGAATGTCAGCCATGTTGTTTCTGTGCCTGGCAACCAAAGCATTTGGCTCTCCCTTCAATGAGCAACAAAGAACAGCTGGCTTATGATCTCCTACCAGAACTACTATCTAGTTATTGTCAAAAACTCAAGGGAAACAAAAATATAGTCAGTCTTTACTGTCTCTCAGGTACTAGGCTAAATGCTTAAAAACTTTATCTCATTTAAGCCTTTTAACAGCCATATGGTTAAGTGTTGTTTTTATGCCAGTTTTATAAAATGAGGAAAGCAAGGTTTTGGGAATTGAGTATCTTGTCCAAAGTGAATGAGAAAGCCAGGATTTAAACCCAGGTTCTCTTGGCTCCTTTCCACTAAATCATACTAGCTCTCCGGAAGGAAGGATACTCCTTATACAGAAATAAGCATACAGTTCATTATTTGTGTTTTTGCTTTGTTGTTGTTTTCTAGCCATTTTTCTCCAGCTATAAGTACTGGATTGCTGAATTTTTCATCTTTTAGGCTTCTGAGCCTTAAAAGGATTAGCTATATGAAGTACTGAAAGATAGATGTGTGTTGTGTTATCTGAATTAATGGAGACAATGGCAGGACTAAAGATCTTTTTATCACTGGTCTTTAGTAACATTAAATGACTATTTCTTGACTTTCCAAAAAGTGTAATTGAGTTACTTCAACCACACCATTTTAAATTTTGGTATCAATTTTACTTGGTTTTACCAAATAGGCTATGATTTGGTGGCTGTCTGGATGAAATATTTATAATTTTATATACACAGGAATCCACAAGTGTTTTATTATTTTATTCATTGTATTTATTATTTTCCTCATTTCCTCTCCTTTTCTCCTGCCTGTCACCACTGCCTCTATTTTGGTGTTCCTCCCCTCCCTCATCTCTCTTGGACCCTCCCTCCTGACCCTTTTCTGGCTGTTTCTCTTCTATAATTGACTTAAAAGTACAGGTCCTATGCTAACTTATAAATGAATAACATTGACATTACCTTAATATAATGAAACATCTGAATTAAAAAGTCATTCCTGGAATCTTCAAGAATAAGAGTGCACCCCATGTTAGAAGTAGTGTTGTGAAGGTCAAAAATAATGTCATAGGAATCTTCGCTATCTTTTGGACCAAATAAATGATTTATTTCTTGAGCCCTTCTCACTTCATATGGCAAATCCTCTGACATTTTTTTGCTGTTATTAGCAGAAAGAAAAAGATTAACAACATCTGTAGCTAAGATAACATAAATATACAATAAGAACACAATGTATAAGGAATCAGTTGCCAAACCTTTAATATGAAAAATCTGTGAGGAAAGTGGAAACTTATTTGAAAACTTTATAGATGAGAAATTACATTTTTTCTCCATTTGATTCCATGTAATGTTGCTTTGGCATGCTCACAAATAAGAGTTCATTTATGTGGCTGGTCACAAGAAGGACATTTCAAACAGAATTTACCATTTGACTTCAACCCAGAACAGAATTTATCCATTAATTTAATCAACAGTTTCTTAATAGTACACGCACCGGGTTATTATGGGACTAAACAATCAAATGCACCTATTTTATTTTCCACTCTAGCTAGTTCTAGTGCACAAAAATAGTCAAACTTAGATGCTCACATCATCTAATTAGGGATCCTTAATGGACATCCAGGAACCACTAGTGGCCCAGCGACAAGCTTTACAGACAAGAGACTGTAAATGCTGTGAAAATGCAACATTTTCCAGGTATATGCCTATATGTACTTATCTGCGATAAGGATTTATAGTTTTTATTGAATTCTCAAATAAGTCTCTACCTGCCCCCTCTTCCCCTCCCACAACGATTAGGATACATTTTTTCTTAGTGTACATGATGATGGTTTAAATTTATTTTTCCTCATTATACCATTCAACCACATTTCTCCATAATTCTATCTATTTCTATCCACTGACTCTTTTCATTGATATCTTCAAGGGACTCACAGTTTGCACCTGGGTAATTCCTGTCTGGAACGCAATCAAGAAAGTGGAACAGCCTTTTTTCGACTATGAAGCAAAAACCATGAGGACAAAAGCTGCCTGCTAAGGATGATGCAGTGGGAAGATGGAAGGAGCCTGCGGCACTGATCGTATCATTGAGCCACTGCACCAGCCCTGGACTGCCTACTTCTGGACTTACTATTTGTGACAAAGAAAACCTTATTTGTTTGAAAACCTTATTTGTTTAAGCCACTGTTTTCAGGTTGCTATTATATGCAACCAAACATAGTTACTAATGGATATATATGCATTTAAAAATTTAATTCATGAAACAACTCCATGAGTCTCCCCCCAACAACTGATTTGCTTCTGACTCTCCCCTATGTGAGCAAATAGCACCACCAGCCAGCCAGTTGCTCAGAGTCAAGGTTTGAAGTCTTGAAAGATAATGGACACTTTGAGTTCTCAGGCCTGGAGTCCAGGTCCCATAGGAAGAGTCCCAAGGAAGAAGCTGAAAGAATAGGCAGGGGCAAGATCCTAAAGGACACGTCAACTATACTAAGTTACTTCAATCTATTCTGGATGGAGATTTTTGAAGAATTTTCAGCAGAGGAGAGACATGATAAGATTTTTCATGTTAGGAGGAACCCTATGGCTGCTACCATACAGAAAGTCGATGGCAGGAAGGATTGGAGTAAGGCCGGATGCAGAAAGATTCTTTAGGAAGATACTCTGTCCACAGAAGAAATAAACCAAGAAGAAATAAGGTAGTGAAAATGGAGAGGAAGATTGAATTTGCAACATACTTGCAATTATTCAAGTACTGAATAATTGAGAAGACTTAGTGACCTACTATACATGGGGGATGAGGAACCAGGAAGGTTCTAAGATGATATACATAAGGAATGTGGTGGGTCATGGTGACATCACTGAGATAAGGCATAAGGGAAAAGGCGCAAATTTGGGAGAGGGAGGATGGGAGAAGGTAATTAATTTATCTTTCTTATAAGTTTCCATAACTACCCTGAGAGAGAACTGTCTAGCCTCTGAATAGTGTTAAATGTAAGAAATAGAAAGTGAATTTAATGTAAAATATCACTCTCATTGAAATGTATGCTATTGAGTGGTCATAATGGACCATTTCAGTCCATTTCAGAGCTGGTTGGGAAGTTAACATGCCAACTAAAAGAGTTATTCTTCAACAAATTCTTACTTGTAATATGAGTTAGTTAATAGTTGTTTTAGGTGAATAGATAAACCTTAATTGTGTCGACATAACCTCAGTCATGAAGGTAAAGCATTTCCGAAACTAAAATTTATGCTAGTAAAAATATGATTTGATACACAGAGCATGACAAATGTGTAATTGCCCTGAAAAACATTCATTCCATAAAGTGAGGCATATTTGTACTAAAAGTAATAATCATCTTTTGGTTTGTGGTGAGACTGAATTTATGTAACTCTCTAAACTCAAATTAGCGTTTATTAGAAAATGAGTCCATAAAGCAGTGGTGCTTTAGTTGTCCCTGTCCACATCTTATATCCCAGCTAGTAGTCTGCCAGCTCCTCTGTACTCCCACAGTATCTGGCACGCTGCCCCGAGAAGAGTAGGTGTTTAATAATATTTTTAGGTAAATGAAAGAAAGAAGCAATAAAAAGCAAATACTTAGAGGTCTATATATCTACATGCTATAATGATATAAACAAAGGCAAAAATAATTAATAAGAATATACCTAGAGTGTTACAATTGTATACATTGTATACAATGTATTACAAATCAGCTGTAATTTAAATTCAGAAAATTCAGGTTAAGTGCCTTTACTTCTCATTGTTCCCATCTACAGCAACCCACCACTGAAGGTAAGTATATCTACTCCTGAGATCACAAGGTGGTCTGATGTTTTCTGATGACGAGTGTTTATTTACTCTTTCATTACACGAATACTAACTGAAACATCACACTTTTCATAACTAGAACTTTGTGCACTACCATAAACATAGTTGCATAAAAACAAAGTAATGAATCATCTAGAAAGCCAACGATTATGTACACAAGCCAAACAGTAATTTAATGCAAAAGACGATTAAATCTGTTTCTTTAAAGATATGATTTAAAAATAAAAACCTTTGTTATTTATTGCCTCAGTCTGTATAGAATGCGTTTCAAAAGAACAGTTAAGAGCAGTCTGTTACTTAAAAATGTTAAAGAGCACGTGAATGCCTAGTTTAGATAACTGTGTAATTCATAACGGAGTATGATTAAAAGTGAAAGTGATCTTATTCACAATAACGACTACATGTATGGACATGAATATCATATGCACATACATACACGTGTTCTCTCACACACATACCACTTTTCACAAACACAAACACACGCAACACAAAATATAGTCTTACCCAAGATTTTCAAGGTCAAAAACTCGATTCAGGTCACAGTCAATATATCTGGTACACTTCTTCACTGCCCTTGGATTGGTAATAAATGGCTTTACCTCCAGCCCTGTTCGCTGAATCTCAGCGCCATTCTCTAGCCAGTGCTTAACTAGAAATACTCCTGTTAGCTCATTCCCATGAGTTCCTCCAAAGATAGCAACCTTTTTTATAGGATCTTCAGCAACGTGACAAGAAGTCATTTTATCAAGTAGTTTTATCTGATTTCTGCAATCCAGAAGAGAGGAGGTTAAAGAAAATGTAATTTTCTAAGAAAGTTTAGAAATTTAAATCAAAATGAAACTTTAACCAAAGTGCAAAGTACAGAGTTCTCTTGAGTGGAGTATAATTTAATTTTCTGTTACAGTTTCTGAGCCCTGTTTATTATTGGGACACTCCTTTCTTTAGCCCTGCCCTTTACCATATTTGGATTAAAATATGCAGAGATCAACTACAGATCCAGTTGTTTACTTTAACTTCTGACTCCCTCAAATGGTCAGTAGATCTAAATGCAATAATAAATTAGCATCTCATACTAATACAAAAATTCTGTTTTCCCTTCAGCTAGAATGTCATCTAATGGTGCTTTCATGACTATTTGTAATAATAAAAATAGTTTATACTTTTCTAACGCTCAAAACTATAAAAAATAAAGAAGTGGCCCATCACATGCACATTATTATTCAATATTTGTATTTCTACTTGCATTTAAAAACATTCTTTCTCTGAAATAAATTCAGGCACATTTTGTCATCTGAGGGCATTTGAATCTCATCTCTACAAACAGCCAAAGGCAGATTCTCAGAGACCTCCTCTGGAACCAGCATCCTTTCTTTCAGAATGCTTTTTCATAGTCAGAAACACAAGAACCAAATCAATGATCACTGGGACTTAAAAAGCTACTTTGAACATGCTTTAATTTCTTTCTTATGAAGTTTTTGGTAATTCTGTGTCAAATTTCTTAGGAATCTTCCTTACTTTTTGCCTCAATACTAAAGGAAAAGCAACTGTTAGTAATTTTCAAGTCTTTGTAATGCCTGAAAATGTCTTGGGGTATGCTGTATATACTAACGAGATTATATGAGTTTATATAGACACAGCCTAACTTACTGGCAGCAGGGACTCTCCACTGGAATGTGTTACTCAAGAGGGGGTCTTATTAGGGAAAACTATCCAGAACACTAAGATGATTACATTCCTTTGGAGAAATGACTCTGAGCCAAATCTGATTTGATTTCATGCTCAATCATCCAGAAAGTCAAACATGTTCAAATACTGAAAATACTATGTACTAGTAATGCCAGATTGTTTGATAGGGGCACAACAAAATTACGTGACAGGCTCAGGGTAATTTAATTTATAATGTTTTCTATATGTTACTTCCCTTTATCCATATATCCACTTTACAAGATAGGGTGGGTTAGGTATTGACATCCACGTTGTAGGGGTAAATGAAAGAGACGTTAAGTAACTTGGTTAAGGTTCCTCAACTACCAGGAGAAACCCAGGCCTGGGACCTGGTTTTCTGATTCTAAGTCCAGTGTTTCCCACAGAACAATAGGGTGCTCACTGTTATTTTTCGCATTCCCCAAAGTTTTAATTCTGCTCTTTTGGAATTCATATAAACAGTCCCTACAGTGTGCTCAGGAGACAAACAAGCACACAAAATACATGATGTATTGAAATATAAAATGTGAATGTTTCATAATATTTAATAAACCAATTCCTATGTTCTTCCTTGAAGAGACTATAATGCAGAGATAGAGAAAGCAAAATAATAAAACTTAAATTTAAACATTAAAATTACTGTTCTAATCTGAGAAAAAGTCCCTGTAGGCTTTGATTTTCTACTCACATCAATGTACATTGAACACCTCAGTGGAGAGAGGCTGAAAACAAGCATAAATGTAACAGATGATAGTCATAGTGTTTAGTTACTTTGGTTTTAAGAACAGTAACTATGGTGAATTATTAACACTTCGTTATGTTTTGTTTCCTTTATGCTGATTTGTGGTTAGTTTTGTCCTTTGCCCTAGTCTCTCTAGAAATGCTGCTTCAGTTATTTGCTCGGAGCTGGCACAAATGACTTGCATTTTGAGGCTTGTTTTATGGAATTTTAACAGATCAGCACTTTGAAGCACATTTAACATTCATAAACAAAGTTTCCCTTGCATGTCAAAATGAGTAACTTTCTGATAGATAATGAATTGCAGTAATTCTGTCCCATACTTACCTTGTTTATTGTGTACAGAGTTTTTCTTCTGAGGAAAGCTTTATTAGAAAAAAAGGAGAGTATTTCCTTAAAACTAGAGCAACAGAGGCTTTTCATACTCTTATACCAAGTTAACTTCCGAAAGATTTTTAACTCCCTGTTTCCCAAAGCACACTAAATTTTTGAGCCCTACAAAAACTACAAATATATATTATTCTGGTTCTTTTTTGAGAGTTTAGAGACCTGATGGTATACAACCCTTTTTAGTTGTCACTATCTCACTATTGGTTGAATATTCAATGTGTGGAAGTACTTAAACGAATAAGCCTAGGAAATTCCAGCACTACAAATGTTTTGTGGGGATGGTGGTGCCTGATTTATTAGCAAAATAATGTAGTTTAAAACAAAAAGAGGGTAGGGGCCAGCCCAGTGGCATAGTGGTTAAGTTCGCGTGCTCTGCTTCGGCAGCCTGGGGTTTGCAGGTTCGAATCCCGGGCTTGGACATACGCGCTGCTTATCAAGCCATGCTGTGGTGGCGTCCCATATAAAGCAGAGGAAGATGGGCATGGACGTTGGCCCAGGGCCGATCTTCCTGAGCAAAAAGAGAAGGATTGGCAACAGATGTTAGCTCAGGGCTGATCTTCCTCACACACACACACAAAACAAAAAAAACAAAAGGAGGCTAAATTTTTCATAGTCATGGCTGTCCAGTAGATTGATGCCAGAAATTTTGTGGGAGACAAATTTAAGGTGGAGTTGTTTTCAAAATAGTATGATTGGGGGATAAGGAGGGTCTTCTCTCCAATATTACACACAAGGTGTCTCATACATAATGTGGTTGTCCCACAGTCGTGGAATCAAATTACTCTCTCTAATTTTCTCTTTCTCCTGTGGCCCTATTGTTGTCACCCACCCTCACCAACTTTCCAGGTGGAAATAAATAAATGACAACCAGAGGGAGATAAGGATAGAATGAATAAGTTTATAAACTGCTCGCAAAGATTCCACATTGCTCATGTCTGCATTCCTTACAAATGTAGCACAGGATGTTGCTCATACTGGGTTTAAAGTTTTTTTTTTTTTTTTTTTTTTTTTTAAGGAGAAATCTATTTTTTAGGGGTAGGTGGGTGTTGTATATGTGTGTATGTACATATGTATATATATATCAGGTCAAAATCTGTTTCTCTGAAGCTTTTACCCATTTTAAAAAAAAATCTCCTCTCTGGGATCATGATGAATAACAAGTCTTTTCAGACATTTTATTGTTTGAAGTCTTTTCTTTTCCAACTTAAATGATGATCCTATTCCTTCAAACTTACTCCTTAGTTTGACATTCAAGGTCTCCTATTATCTGGTCTCAACCTACCTCTAATACCCTCTCCCGACCACTCTCCTTAATTGACCCAATCTTCAAAGAAACTACTACTATGTCTCAGGGTCTCATAGTCCTAGGCCTTTACTAAAACCTTCCCTGTATCTCTGGGCCCTCTGCACCTCTTCCCGTCACTGACCCCCATCTTCAAATGGTCAGAAAACATGGCAACAACAAAACACAATCTTAGAACCCAGACAGAACTGGAATTACTAATCCTGGCCTATAGGAACTACTCAATACATGCCAGCTACTGTTATTAAATAAGGGCCAACATTTATTGAGCACTTACTGTGTGCCAGCACTGTTCACGTTCTCTTTTGATACTTTGAGAGCAATTATGTAAATGCCATATCACTATTTTACTGAGGAGGTAAAGGTGGGTCTAGCGGGGGTAAACAACCTGCTTAAGATGCAAGGGCTAGGAAGCTGCGGTCCAGGGGCCCGAGGGCTCAGGTCGCGGCCCCATTCCTGAGGGGCGCTGCCCTGTCCCTCCTGAGGTGGCAGCACCGGCCTGCCTTACTGATCTCTCCTCCCCGCAGGGCTGTCATCGCAACCCGGGCCTCGGCTCTGCCACCAGCCTCCTGGAGGCGCCAATTCCCTGACTGACCGCAGAAACTCAGCCAGAGCAAGCAAGACCCTACGACCTGGTTTTGAGGCCGGCGGCCTTTGAGTCGTTCCCTTCTCGGAGGGCTCTGGGGCGCCACCAGCCTCTTACAAACTGATGTCGAGAACCTAAGACGTGACCGCGGGTGTGGGGACGGGGGTGGGCGACGAGCCCCGAGCATGGTTTTCTGACGAAGCTGGGGCAGAGGCCGGCTGGGCAAGAGACCTGCCACGGCCTCACCAGTGATGAGAACAGTCTCGTGCCTCTCCGGGCAAAACTCTAAGGAGGTAGGGCCATCCCTGCGCGGCGTAGCTCCCAGTGTGAGAACGCAAGGGGAGGCGCGTTAACGTCAGCGCTCCTGGGAGAGCGGCCCAGAACCCAAGGCGGTGGCCCCTGCGCTTGCGCGGCCGGCCGGCGTGTCCAGGCGCGCATGCGCACGCTCGACTTCCCGCGCTTTTTCGGAGGTGGGAAGGGGGCGGTGGCTGACTGGGCTGTCTCCGCGACGACGGTTGAGCGAGTCGAGGGAAACTGAAGGTTAAAGTTGCGTGTCCTCTTGGCCGGAGGGCCAAGAAGGGAAAGTCTGTGGTGTCCTTACTTAAAAACTGCCCCCAGTCTCCAGGTCAAGAGGGATGGTTTGAAGAGAACGTGAGCTCTGACTGGAGCTCATCCCCCACTCCAGCGAGGAGGCCCAAAATCGGCCTCCTGGCCTCGGTCTGAGACAGCGGTCTCTGGGGGCGGCGTGAGTGCAGACTGAGCAAACTTGTGTACGTCGATGCTGCCAACCTCATTAATGCCATTTGAGCCCAGTTGGAAGCTGGGGTGGGGACAGCTCACAGTCGCGGCCCCCCGGGCCAGGGGGCCGGGGGAGGATGTTTATTTTGTTTGTGTGATACTCAGAAACGGAAGAGCCGTTGTAAGCCCGCTCTGGGTTTAGGAAGTGAGTTGCGTTGCTATTTCTGTGCTGAGACAAAGTTTCATAGCCTCTGTTTCGGTTCCTAGAGTGGCATCAAGAGTATTTTCCAAAGGGCCTGCTGCGTCCAGCTTCAAGCCCGAGCTATGGAAACAAAGCAGAGGCAGCCCCTGCCATCATGTTTCCCAAGTTTTATTCCGTAGACGATATTTGGAAACTAATATTTACCTCAGCATGATTTGCGTTGT